GGAGCCGTCCAGGTTGAGCTTGCGCAGGTAGTACCGGTTGGCGAAGATCAGAAACGGCTCCTCGTCTGGAGGCAGAGGAGGCCGGCTCAGCTGCTGCTGGCGGGGGCGCATTCTAGCACACACCCCCGTCCCCAGCCTGCCTTCAGCCCAGCCGTCAGCCCGCCCGCCACAGCCCCTGGCTGCCTGCCAGGGCCAACGGCACGCCCTCTAAGCCCCCGTCTCACCAGTCACAGCTTTGCAGCTATGTGGGTCTCCGCCGCGGGGGGCGTAGCCCTCCACGCACAGACACTTGTAGCTGCCATGGGTGTTGATGCAGCGCTGGCTGCAGGGGAAGGTGGTGCTGCACTCGTCCACGTCAGCGCACGTCCGGCCGTCGTCCTTCAGGCGGAAGCCAGGGCGGCAGCGGCACTGCGGGCACAGGGAGCCTGGGGTGGGCACGGGCAGGGGTCTGGGCCGCCCCAGGAACTGCAGGCCTCTCACCTCGAGACCGAGGGTCAGAAGCCCCCTCCACCCTGGGTGGCTGGCTGTTGACGGGGAAGCCCAGCCTCACCAAGGGAAGCAGGCAGCGCACAGGCACTGAGCTGGCCCACGCCAGCCGTCTGGCTCTCACCCCCACCCAAACCACTGGCGTGAGTCCCCAGTGACTGCCACGACTCTGCGTCCCGAGGTTGAGGCTCAGGCCTCCTCTCACGTGACCCGCGAGCCTCATCCGACAGAGTCCATCACCTCCTCCTCCAGCACTTTCTTCGCTTGGCTGCTCTCCTGCCCCCAAGGCTGCCCCTGCTCAGGCTTCTCTGCCGCTCCCCCCTCACCTCACTGCCCTCAGTGTGGCTGAGTACAGGGCTCAGGCCTCGGACCGCCCTCGTTTTCATCTACACTGGCCCGCTTCGGGATCTTATCCAGACTCAGGACTTAAATGCCGTCTCTATGGTGACAGCTCCCAGCCTCTCTCTCCTGCCTGGCCTCCCCCTTGGACGGCAGGCCTGCGCATCTGGCGCCTGTTTGACATCTGCGCGCCCCTCCTTCTCTCGTGCCCCTGACCTCATCTGCCAGCAAAGCCTGCTGGCTCTACCTCCCAAACAGATGCAGAACCAACTAAGCAGAGATTTCTGTTGTGCTCAATGCTGGGTCCCCAGTGCCTAGAACACTGCCTGGCAGGATAGGAGCTGAGTTAGCCCCCGTTGGATGAATGAACCAATGAATAAATGAATGAGGGATGGAGAAAGGAGTCCCAGCCAGGCTCGGGAGCGTGGAGGCTCCCACCCGGGGCACAGCACACCTTGAAGCCAATCTTGAGGTCCTCGCAGTCCTGGCTGCAGCCGCTGAGCTTGCGGCTGAGGCACTCGTTGACGTGGCAGCCGCGCTCATCCGAGCCGTCGCCGCAGTCGTCCTGACCGTCGCAAAGCAGCGCCTCGGCCACGCAGCGCCCGATGCTGCACAGGAACTGCGAGGAGGCGTTGCACTTGTGCTCTGGGGGGACGGAGGTGGCGGGTCAGCCGGGTCCTGGGCAGTCTGGGGGACGGGGCCAGGGGCCGAGAGTGGGGAGGGAGCCACGCGTGGGGCCCACCTGGGCTGGTGCAGTGCGGGTTCTTGGGGGCCTCGTCGCTCTGGTCGTGGCAGTCATTTTCACCATCGCACTCCCACTGGCGGGAGCTCAGGCAGCGCCCGTTGGCGCAGCGGAACTCGTTGGGGCCGCAGGTCGGGTACTCTGCGGTGGGAGGGGGCAGGTGAGGCTGGCGGCCTGTGCATGGAGGGCGGGGCCCCTCCCACCGCGGCCCTGGGCTCACCACACTCGGGGGACTCGTCAGAGCCGTCGGCGCAGTCCCGGTCGTGGTCACACATGAAGTGCTTGGGGATGCACTGGCGGTTCTGACACATGAACTCGCGGTCCTCACAGGTGCTGTTGTACACTGCGGACAAAGGCGGACACGGCCCCTCAGCCCCCGCCCGCCCGGCTGCTGACTGTCTCCCCCCGACCTTCCTGTGGTCTGAGTGGTAGAATGGGCAGAGCGCTGGACGGGGCTGTAGACAGGGCTCTGCCACTGACCACCTGAGTGACCCCCCGCGGAAACACTTCCTCCCCTGGACCTCGGTCTCCCCTCCTGCAAAGTGAGACCACGGCCCCACCACTCACAGCAGCCGGCTGTGACGCTCTCGTCAGCACCGTCAGCACAGTCCTTGTCACCGTCACAGAGCCAGCGCTCGGGGACGCACACGTGGGTGCCCGGGCAGGAGAAGGAGCTGGGGCCGCACGTCTTGCCTTCTGTGGAGGGAACAGGGAGCCACTGAGAGACGCAAGAGCGGAAGGAGCAGGGCCAGGCAGCTGGGGTGACGTGCCCACTGCTGTGCTGTCGCTGGTGGGGTGCGTGGGGGGCCCTTCCCTTCCCGGGGCCACCTCCCCAGCCAGACCCCAGGCCCCTCTCACCACAGTGAGCGGCCTCGTCCGAGCCGTCCCCGCAGTCATCGCTGCCATCACACAGCCACTGCTTGGAGATGCAGCGATGGTTCTGGCACTCAAACTGGGCCTCTGAGCAGAACTTGTCTGGGGCAGTCGGAAGCCACAGTTAGATAGGGGAGGGATGGTGGGTCACTCAGCTCGGCAGGTAGATGCCAGAGGACGGATGGGAGAGACACCCCCATGGCACCCCCTGTGGGGGGCTCAGCAGGGGCTGGAGAGACAGCCCCCATCTCAGAGCCTGAGGGTCTGGGTTAGGGGCACAGGGTGAAGCCCTGGGTGCCCTTCTCAAAGGAGGGCATTTCCTGCGAGGGAACCAAGAGGTGGGGCCTGGACAGGGTCTCAGTGGCTAAGGCGAAGCCCCAACCCTACAGGTCCTCTGGGTGCCTAGCTCAGGTGAGTGGGTGCTTGCGGTCACTCACTGCAGTGGGTCTCATCCTCGCCGTGCTCACAGTCGTCCTCCTTGTCACACGTCCAACTCATGGGGATGCAGCGCCCACTAGGGCAGGCGAAGTAGTTCAGGGGGCATCTGGGGCGCTTCACACCTGGGGGCGAGGGAGGCATGAAGGCACAGCCACCTCGGGGGTCCGCTGCCCACCGCACACCTGCCCACTGGTCGGACCTGGGCAGTCGCGCTCGTCGCTGTAGTCCCCGCAGTCGTTCGCACCATCGCACACCCAGCTGGGCGCGTAGCAGAGGGAGGTCCGCTCACAGGGCTGGAAGCGCCCGCCCTTCACCCCCAGGCGGAAGTAGCTGCTGCAGTCGGTGGCGCCTGGCGACGGCGAGGATGAGGGGTGACACCAGCTTCCCTCCAAACACCCTCCCTTAGAGCTGCTGGCCCGTACGGAGCCTTCAAGCGTTTTAGAAAGTTGAACCGTGTTGTTCGGTGGGGGGTGGTGGGGGGTGCTCTGCCCACACTTTCCACTCCCTGCCCCTCCCTGAGTCTCAGGGAGCCCAGGCCTGGGGCAGACTGGGAGGGGACTGAGGCTGCCACGTGGGCCAGAGGGAAGGCAGAGGAGCCCGGGCAGGAGGGCAGGGCACCCGAGGAGGCACCCAGGAAAGGGGCATCGCTCACTGCAGTTCATCTCGTCCGAGGCATCCTCACAGTCCACAAACTGGTTGCAGCGACTGGAGTTCCCAATGCAGGTGCCGTCCCAGCAGCGGAATTCGCCCGTGCCACAGGCCGTCTCTAGAAGAGCACCCACCCGGTGCCATCAGGCGGGGTCCTCCCTGCGGGGGCCAGGCAGGCCCAGGCCAGGGGTCCCGGCCCAAAGCGCCTGTCCAGCCCCATCATATAGTGCCCTGAACCAGACTCCTTGGGGCCTGGGGACCAAAGATCAGCAAGGGTGGGGGGGGGGGGGAGGGTTGGGGGGGGGGGGGGGGGGGGGGGGGGCGGGCTGGGGGGCGGTCCGAGGCCCGGCACGGGTCGCACTCACTGTTGCAGGGAATCTCATCAGAACCGTCCCCGCAGTCGTCTGCTCCGTTGCACCACAGCATGTTGGACACACAGCGCCCATTGTTGCACTGGCGGAAAGTCTTCTTGCAGCGGCGTGTATCTGCGGAGCGGGGAGCAGGCCACAGTCAGCAGCAGCTACAGGGGAGGGGCTGCCTCTGATGAAACGTCCTGCGTTTGCTCCCTTGACAAACTTGAGGCTTTGCTACGGGCTGGCATGGGGCTCGACTCCTTCTCCGGTCGGGGTTGTGGGGGGCGGCTTTTGCTCCTCTCACTCCCACGCCCCGCCCTGCTGCAGGCTGAGGCTGGTGACTCAGGAGGTGGGGGCCTGGGGGCGCGGGCGGGGGCTCTGGGGCTGGAGGAGGCTCCTTACTGCAGTAGGACGGCTTCTCGTCAGACTTGTCCTTGCAGTGGGAGACGCCGTCGCACGTCAGGCTGAAGTTGATGCACTCGCCATTGGCACACTCGAACTCATCTTGAGCTCGGCACGAGGAATTCACCGCTGGGGAGGAAGGTGGGGGAGCTTCCTGAGGCAGGGCCTTCGGGCTCTGAGTGCCCGTACGCCTCTCCCCCCAGGAACTGAGGCCATCCTGTCGCACCATGATGAAAGGCTTTGTGGGGCTGGGCTGCTGGAGAGTCTGGGAGGAGACGGTCCCCATCTACGCCCAGGGCCCCCCATCAGTGCCCTCCTCCCTCCTCCCCCTCTCACCCTGGCAGCTGAGGTCGTCCTGGAGGATGCGGCCCCCTCGGCAGGAGCAGTTGACATGGCCTTGGTGAGTGAGCAGACACAGGTCCTGGCAGCCCCCGTTGTTGATGCGACAAGGGGAGAGTTCGCCTGAGGCAGGGATGGAGGACAGTGGGCTAAGCGCGTCCTCTGCTGTGCACATGCAGAACGCCCCCCTACCCCCAACAGCGTCGCTGAGCTTCCTGGCACCACCTGTGACACGGTGGCTCACGGCTGGGGCGGGGGCTGCCGTGGGAAGGCCGGGTGGGAGCGTTTGGGTGAGCCTGAGGTTGAGGATGTGTGTGCTCTTAGGTGGGGTGATTGGGGCTCTGAGCCGTACTCTGGGGAGAGTCAAGCCTAAGGTCGTGTGTGTAGTGGTGGGCACCCCGGGGCACGTGTGAGGAGTGTGTGAGAGGCCGGGACAGCTGCAGATCTGTGTGTGGGACCCTTGGTCGTCAAGCCAGTGTGGGACCGTGTCTGTGCACGTGCACACAGAGAGTGGAGTAGGCAGCACCTGGGATGGGTGCGAGATCAGGTTCTGGCGGGTAGGTGTGGTTCTGAGCGGGAGGAATGGCTAGAGCGTGTGCTGGGGGTGTCCAAAGATGTGAATCAGACCAGTTGTGTGTGTGTGCGTGCGTGTGTGTGTGTACATGCTGGCACAGTGGGCAGGAGAGCAAGGCTGGTGGCAGCGGCCCCACTCACAGCTGTTGGTATCATTGGCCACGGCGATGATGCCCATGGGCTGCTGGGGGATGTCCACGCGCAGCAGCTTCATGTCACTGCCCACGTACTTGTTGGCCCGTTGCACGGCCCGCCGCACCCAGTCGGTCCAGAAGATGTGCTCCCCATACACAGCCAACCCGAAGGGGTGGACGGGCTCTGACTTCAGGATCACCTGGGGAGACAGCATCAGCCCGTCAAAGGGATCACTCTCGCCCCCACCTCCACCCCCTGCAGCTGGCTCCAGGGACCAGGGGCCCGGCTCCTTAGACACAGTCGCAGAAGGGGCAGGATTTGCAGAGACCTGTGATCACCTTCCTCATTTAACTGCTGAGGAAACCAAGCCTGGAAGGCTGAGGATGGCGAAGTGGCAAGGTCAGGGTCTGACTGGGACTCCCCACTGTTCCCCTGGCTCTTCCCACCATGTCAGGTGGCCTCCCTTTCTCCTGCTCCGTGCCTGGGCAATCTCCTCCCTGGCTGACCGGCAGTACCCCAGCGTCAGCCCCCTCGTGCCGCCCGTCCCGCCTGCCCCGGAGACTCACATAGCGATGGGAGCCGTCGTACTCGCACCGCTCGATCTTGTCTAGGGTGGCGTCGGAGAAGTAGAGCTTCTCGGCCCGGTGGTCGATGGCCAGGCCATTGGGGGTGCGGATGTCCTTCTCGATGAGAGTCAGGACGTTGGCTCCTGACAGGGCTGCCCGCATGATGCTGGGGTGCTGCTCGTTCCAATTGGTCCAGAACATCAGGCTGGGGGGAGAGAGGGCCACGGAGATCAGGACTCAAAGCCAGCGAGTCCGCCATGGAGGGACCAGGCCCGGGCGTGCAGACAGCCAGACCCGGGGGTCGGCCAGAGTGTCAACTAGACACCTGAGGTTGCACCACAGGCAACCTCAGAGCCACCAAGGCCAACACAGCCCCAGTGCCTGGGAAGGGCTGCCACACAGACAGCTTGCATGTGTGTGTGTGTATGTGTGTGTGTGTGTGTGTGTATGTGCACAAGTGCTTCTCAGTGTCTGTGAAACGGCCACCTGCGTTTACTGAGAGAGCATAGCCAAGTGAGTCAGCCTCTGGGGTTCCAATCCCGGCTCCAGCACTGACCATCTAGGAACCTTAGCAAGTTACTTAACCCCTGTGTGCCTCAGTTTCCCACTCTATGAAATAGGAATACTACTACTACCTGCCCCATAGAGTGGTCTGAGGATTAAACGACAGCTGTGTGTTCTATGTGAGGATTTTCTATTACTTTTTCCTTCATTTCTCTCTTCTCCTGGCATTCAGGAAACCGTTGAGTGTCTAGTGTGTCCTAGGTCCTGGGGATGCATGGATTCTACCATCAAGTTCCCAAGAATCGCCTTCTCCATAATTTAAGGCCTTTGCATATTTGGGATCTGAGCCTCAGCTTTGCCCCTTACTAGCTCTGACCTAAGCATCCCTCTTGGCCCCTCTGAGCCTCGGCTTCCTTTCAGTGAAGGAGGTGGTGGGAACGCCCAGCCATGCCGTGCTTCTCGGGTGGGGGTGGTGGCGAGGCCCCAGAGGTGGGTGTGGAAGACCCCCGGGCTGGTCAAGCACTACACCGGTGTGAGTGTGGTCCTCAGACCACCTGCATTGGATGGCGATTCCTGGGTCTTTGTCCTGGAGATTCACGTGCAGTTAGGGTAGCGTGAGGCCAGGGAACCAGACTTGCCAGCGCTCCCCAGGCCACCCTCGTGCACCCTGGACTTTGGAAAGCATTGAGCTACACCAAAGCCAGATCCGCTTTTCAGTTCCCTCACAGGACCTGCCCTCTGCCTCCCAACCCCCAGGCCCCTGTGTCCCTCATCCTTCTGCTGTTCTGGCTACAGAGGTGTCTTGCAGAGCTGCTGGACTTATCTCCTCAAACCTCTCCAGGTCTCACTCTTTTGAACACTCCCCCTCCCCCGTCTCTCCATCCTGCCACTGTGCTCAGGTAGGAAAAGGATGCTTCCCTCCCATTAGGGAGGTGCTGGCTGCTCCTGAGCCCATGAGGATACAGCTCTGGTTTTAAAGGCCTCATCAGGGGAATGGGTGGGGTTCTGGTGGTTCCTGGAATCAGGATGGGCGCAGATGCAGGCATCTCCCTCTGGCCTCCACAAGAGAAAGCGGGTGTCCCAAGGCAGCTGCTAGTGTCATCTTCCTCCCCATCAGGGACACCCACACCCTCAGGTACAGCACACTCTGTGCTGGGAAGCGGCTTTCCTCCTATCATTATAAACTGCTCCACGTGGCAGAACAATCCGTGCTGTCACTGTGGATTCCAACTTTGGTAAAACCACTCCCCGGGAAAGGGCCGTGGGGAGTGGTGGAGAGGCTTTCCTGAGGGGCAGGCAGTCAGCACCCAGGGTTGCGGTGACTTTCTAACCGGGCTGGGGGAGGCCGCTGCCCCCTCCACACTGGCTCCCTCCCGTTCCTCCAAAGCGCTCGCCCCTTCTGGCCAAGGGAGGGCCTCTCCCAGACAGTTCGGCTCTTTCTCCTGTGCCCTGCCCGGCTTCAGTTCACCCTGTCGTCTCGCAGACCTGGCTCATGCATTGCCCCCTTGAGAATACATTCCCTGACTTCCAGCCTGGGTCAGGTCCTCGTCACCCACTCATGGAGCTCCCTGCAGCCTCGTGAGGGCAAGAATCAAATATGCCGACAAAGGGCTGACACAACCCTGCTCCCCATCGGATCCTCAGCACGTCGCTGGCTCTCAAAACCCATTTGCTGAGTGAAGGACTGAGTCCCCGGAGCTCAGAGCAAAGGAAATTAGTGGGCTCTGAATCAAACATGAGAGGCAGGCCGGGGGGCCCAGAGCACGGCCCCTCCATGGAGGCTCCAGGCTCACGAGGGACGGGCCCGGGGGGCCAGGCCCAGGCAGGTGAAGCTGCCGAGGGTCACAGCGGGGAAGACGGGATCTCCGTCATGAGCCGCGTACGTGGGGGACAGGACTGAGGCAGGAAGGACCCTCGAGCGAGCTGGTTGGCGGTGTCAGGCAGGCCGGCTTTGGGCCAGGCGTGAGTTACATCAGGGTAAGGAATCTAGGTTTGGTGCACTCACTGTTTCTACGTAGCTGCTTTTGGGTTTTGTTTGTTCCTTAGTTTCCTAGTAAAGCTTTGGGAAAACATTCCAAGCGCTGCTAAATCCAGGGGAAAAAAGTTTTGCTAGAATGTGGGCCAGCAGTCCTAAGGTGAGGCTGGGGGCTCACTAGAGGTCCACGTGATGGGGCCGGGGGCTGCCCCTGCAGGAGAGCAGAGTGGGTGGAGGCTGGGGGTGTGTACCATGCCGGGGGGTTTCCTCCCAAATTCTCCCTTGGCAACCTTAGCCCAGCCTCCTGGGCTTCCTCAAGCCTGTCCCCCACCAACCCCCCGGCACCCCCCCGCACCCCCAGCCCCAGCACCTCAACTGGGCTGGGCGTGGCTGAGGCCCCTCGCAGTCCTTCCCTGCCTGGAGCCCTCCCTCCTGTGGCGCTTGCTCAAAGCTCTTATCCGGGCTGCCCTTCCCTGGCCTTTGCAATTCCAGGCCCTGTGCCAACCCACTGCCCCCGTGCTGCCTCTTGGTCATCGCATCCAGCCCTGTGCGGTCAGCAGTTTCCCACCAGTGGTTTCTCTCCCCAGCTAGGTGGCTTGAATGGGCCCAGCTCAAGGCTTCCACACAACAGGCGTTCAGTGAACAACCTTTGCTTGAAGCTTGGAGACCCAGAAACACAGAGGACCCACTATGTGCCTTGAACATGGCTCTCTGATGAATCAATTAATCACCAAGCCAGAGGGTCCTCCACAGCTCTCTCATCCTGCCCTTGATGAGGCACCTGAAATGCTATTGTCCTCATATTACAGATGAGGAAACCAAAGCTCAGAGAGGTCACGCAGCTGGTCTAAGGTCACACAGCAAGGAAGTGGCTGAGCTCAGGTTAGAGCCAGCCTCTCCTGCTCCTGCATCCCCTTTCCTGGTCTGCCTAGGGGCAGTTCCTGCCACCCTGTGGCCCACTGTCCCCATGCCCTGGGCCCGCAGCTCACTTCTGGCACTCATCCAGCACAAAGGCCCTTGGGTGGTCGTCTCCAGACATGGTGATGACCGTCTCACGCTCGAAGGCCCCTGGGCGGGTCTGGTCCACCGTGTGGCGGGTGATGGTGGATGTCGTGTAGCTTGTCCAGTAGAGAGTATCCCAGCCACGGTGATAGGCCAGGCCTTCCACGGAGCCCACGTCTGCGAGGAGACAGGAGCAGCGATGGGTCAGGACAGGGCCAGAGAGCAGAGCGAAGGGGCAGCCTGGGCATCCCCACGCTAAGGGGATGGCCTGGGGCACCCTCTCCCTTGGCGTATGTGGGGTTGGATGGGAAGTGTGGGAGCTGGGGAGTGTGTGTGTGTGTGGCCCTCGGTGCCCCCAGCCCCTTCTGCACCCCCCTATTTCCCACCCAAATGATCCATGGTCCATCCCCCTAACCCTTCTTTCTGTGTCCTCCCACGGCTGGATAGATTTGGCTTTATGCTGTGGTCACACTTCCTGGAGCTAAAGTTCTACCAAGTTGGGCGCAAACTGGATTTCAGTAAATCAGATCCCACATGGGCTGTACTGGGGAGCTTCCTACTTAAAAAGACCCTGAACTGAATTGTCTGGTAGACATCTTAGGCTCAGGTTAAGAACTAAGTGCATGATGAAAGAGACGTAGCAGAACTTAGGTTAAAAGAAAAAGCCTCAGGGGTTTCAGTGACTTCAAGCTGTCTGGCGATGTGGTTGCCAGAAAGCTGTATTAATAGAAGTATTGTAGCCCAAACAATGGCCCGGAGAGAGGGGACACTTCTGCCAGTCTCTCCCGATCAAGCTACGATTACAGAGTATCGAGTTTAGCTTTGGACACTACATTTTTAGACAGATGTGGGGACTGGATTCTGTGAGGCAGAAAAGGGCCAAGGAGGTTGAAAGACAGGTCTGTTTTTATCACCACTGTATACCCGGCACCTAGTTCCGCGCCTGGCAGGTCTTTACGGACAGGAGTGATAAATGCATGAACAAATGAATGAGTCAAAGGACCTAGGAGCATCCAGCCCGGAGAAGAGAAAACTAGTGGAATAAAATAGCAGTTTTCAAAGAGCTGAAAGGCTGTCCTAGGATGACAGCTCTAACTCCCCCACCCTTTATGGAGCTCACACAATGTGCCCTGCGCCGAGCTAAGCTCTCCCACCTGTCGTCTCAGGTCATCCTGTCTCTGTGCACTGGCGAGCAATCTGAGGCTGAGAGAGCACAGAAAACTCGCCCAAGTGACTAAAATTCTGTGTCTGGGGTTACACCCGCCCCATCTCTGCAACCTGTTCTGTGAGCAGCGGACACACAGAGGAGAGCTTCGGCTTATTCTGTGTAGCCTGGGGGCAGAACCAGGACCAGAGGGGGCCAACTCTGCCTCCAGTTGAGGAGAGACTTTCAAGTAACTGCAATGGGTGCCGTGTGATTCGGTGGCCGTATGTCAGGGACACCGAGGCAGGTGGGATTCCGATCCGGGGCAGGGGTGGGCTGGCTGGTGTCTGCGGCTCCTCTACCCTGAGTCTGTGCTGACCCTCCCTGCACTGCCCCCCTCCACTTGCTGGGAAGAATGGAAGTCTGGGCTCACTCTCCACAATGGTGGTCCTGCCCGAGCCATCGTCATTGATCTGCTGGATGTTCCCAAAGTGGATGTCGCTGAAGAAGATGCGGTTGGGGGTGCCCGGGGAGGTGCCTGCTCGGTAGTCGAAGGCCAGAGCGATGACGTTCTTCATGTGCTCAGGGTCCTCGAAGGGCTGCACCGGCGCGTTGAGGTTGCGCTCATCCGACAGGTGGATGCTCTTGAGGATGGTGCGCTCCGAGTAGAGCAGGTAGCCTGCGTACTCACGGCACGACGCCCCATCTTCAGCCAGCATCCCGTGGGCGCAGGCGCAGGCCCGCTGCCCGCCCCCCCGGTACAGGCACAGCTGCTGGCACCCGCCGTTGGCCACCGCACACACATTGGTGCCTGGGGGTGGGAGGAAACCGGGAAGGCAGAGGTTACAGAGGGCAGGGCCACCTTGGTGCCTCTGTCATCTCAGCCGAGGTGGAAACTCTGGTTGGCGCCCGGCTCTGCCTCGGTATCCCCAGTTCAGACAACCCTCCAGGCCCCTGTGCTCAACTCCTCAGCCTCGTGGGACCCTAGAGGGTGCCCTGTGGGTCTAAGTTCTCTCCCAGCCCTTCTCACTCTGGGCTCCCAGGTGGGGCCCTCCGGCCTCTCCTGCCCAGCCCGGAGCCCCAGCCTCACCTTTCTGTCGGTCCCGGTTGAAGACTTTGATGTCTTTGAGCTGGACGCCGATGCCCGTTCGCAGGGGCACGGAGTCTGTGGCGTTGTCCTTGCTCCCGCGCTTGATGGAGCCGTTGGCGTGAGTCCTGGGGGAAGGCAAGGGCCACGAGCAGGACGTCATCCGGGGCCGGGGGGAGGGAACGGACGGCCCAGGGGAAGGCCAGGACAGTGGCCCACCTGTCACTCCAGTAGATGAACTCCTCAAACACGGACACCGAGAACATGTCCATGTTGTTGCTGGACAGAACTACCTCGCGGTCCTCGCCCGTCTCCAGGTCGATCCGCTCGATCTTGTCGGTCCGGGCGTCGCACCAGTACAGCTTCCCATCCTGCGGGCCGGAGGCACCCGCTTCACTGCCAGTCCCCACGTCCCACTCACTCCTGCCTCTCTCGTCTCTCCCCTCCTTCCTCCACATCTTCCCGCTCCCTGAAATGCCGATCTGCCGACCTCTCGGCATTCTTCCAGTGCCCGCTTCTGAGTGACCCCCTCCGCCATTTCTGGGGTCGTGGAATCCTACTCTGGGTGGGTCGCTGGGCCAGAGGACCCCACGACTCCTTGGGTCCGCATCTACCCACCAATGGGCACATCACACGAGACTCAATGGGGAGCAGGGCACAGGGTAAGGGGAGATGCCCCCCAGGGTACGGGGTGCATCCCATCGGCCCCAGGGCCAAGCCTGCATCCAAACCTGATAGTCCACTGAAATGCCGTTGGGCCAGCTGATGCTGACGTTAACCAGCACCACTCGCTCAGCGCCGTCCAGGCGAGACCGCTCAATACGCGGATACTGGCCCCACTCAGTCCAGAACAAGTACCTGGGGTGGAGGCGGAAGAGGGGGGGTCAGTCCCCAGAACATGGAGGAGAGGGGGCCTGTGGCCAGAGGGACCGGGCCAGGCCAGAGCCAGGAGTGGTCAGCCTGTCCAGCTCCTCACCCCTTCTCCGGGTGGACAGTGATTGCCCGGGGCTTGTCCAGACCCTGGGAGATGACCACGTAGCGGAAAGAGCCATTGAGCCGGGCGACCTCGATGACGTCAAAGCCCTGGTCTGTCCAGTAGATGTTGCCTGAGGAGGGAGTAAGGGGGAGCTCAGGGGTCGGCTGGGGATGGAGGTACCTGGTTCCCTCCAGCCCCCTGATACCCCTGCTTCTCCCCATCTGTTCCTGCCTACCCCTTCTTCTCAGACCCTTCCTTCTGAGATCCCACTTCCCCAGTCCTCTGCCTCACCTGCAGCCCCTCAGCCCTTCCGCAACTCACCTGCGATCCAGTCCACTGCGATGCCCTCCACGCGGCCAATGCCATTGGTCACCACGTCCTCACGCCACGTCTGGTCTCGCTTAGCCCGGCTGATGGTACTTAGGCCCATGTCCACCCAGTAGATGGTGTCATTTTCTGGAGGTGGAGGAGCCAACGTGGGGACGCTCAGCAAGGTAGGGGGAAGGTGGGAGGTCAAAATCACGAGGGGATAAGGATAGAGGTGACTGAGAGCTGGGGGGACCAGGGGCTTGGAAGCGGACATAGCGGGGCAGGGGCAGCTGTGGTAAGCGTCGCCCCTTCCAGCTGCGGTCAGGCAGCCTCTCCCTGGAGCCCCAGAGCACACCACCCCAAAGGGAAGGTCATGTCCCACCCCCTCCTGCCACCAAATGTCTCACCAGCATGGAAGTCGATGCCGACAGCCAGGGAGGTCCCCGACACTGGGACCAGGGCGTCTGACTTGTCATTGGGATCCAGGGGGATTCCCCGGATTCCCTCATGCACAGAGTACAGGAGAAAGGAGCCCACACCTGCAACACAAGGACACTTTGGGCATGGGCTTTGCTGACACCCCTTAAGCTTGGCTTCTGTCACCCTCAAACCCTTTTGATACCTTCTCCCAGCCATCACACCTTCCCCCTCAACACATACTCTAGCCTGGGGGCTTGGGCAGGGAGGTCACCTGGCTGGGAGAGAGAGCAAGGGAGCATGCAGCTCTGGGGAACCACCTGTGAGACCTATAGTTCCCACTAGAGGGCAGCAGAGACCTGACTTTCTCGCTGCGCTCTGCCCTCCAATCCCACTTCAATCCACACAGCCCTGCACCCCCAAAGGTGTTAGGGAGAATCTGGGGAGGACAGTAGGACTGGGTGACTCCCAACTCTAGGTTTCCACCTTAATTTCCTCTTTGTCCTCATCCACCTGGTCTGTGTCACACCCCTGTCTCTGACACCTCGCTCCTGAGCCAGTCTCCTTCCCAGTTTCCCATTTCTTACCAGGCGCCACTCTCCATGCACCCTAGAATCCTCCCTTGCCTTTATCCCCTCACACAGCCTGTCCTCAAATGAATCCCCTAAATGGGTCCTGGTTGCTCAGGCTCCCCGAAGAAAAGGACTCATGGTCGAGTGAGTTTGGGGGGCGGCAAACACTAGAGTCGTCCCGTGGAAAATTCTGTGCAGCAGAAAAACACTTAAACTTTGTTCAACCCAGTGTTTCTTTCTATAACATCTATCACATCAAAGCGGGAGGTTCCCAGGAGTGCACTTCGGGAAATGCTGTCCTGGGGCAGGCTTGTAAATCATTCGGCAAGTTCTTGTGAAATGTCTCTGAGTTTCGTCCCTTCTCTTCAATCCAGCTGCTAAGCCCCAGCCCAGGCCAACAGCCCCCTGACTGGTCTGACTGCCTTAGTTTCTCCCTCCCCCACTCAGCCGGCTCTCTGCCGCCAGGTTAATCTGCCCCAAACACCACCTTCCAGGTGCTCCTGGCTGAGAACCCGTGAAGCCCCGCCTACCCCACAGCCTCACCCATGGCTCCCCACACCCTGCGCCATGCGGGTTGGCACCTCAGGGCCCTGCACACACCCTCCTATTGCTCTGGACCCCTTGCCTTGCGTATCGTCCCTTCTTCAAACCACACACTCAAATCCTACGTGCCCTATAAAACCCAGCAGCCAGCACACCTCTGGCGTGAAGTGGCCCTGGCGCCCCCTCCGATGTCTATTTCTCCAAAATCCTACTGAAGTCAGAGCCACTTCGCGCTGGTCGCCCCTCCTGGTTAAGGCTGCAGAGCACAGGGACAGGGGCTTCTGCCCCCTGGCTTCCTCCACGGCAGGGAGCACAGTGGGCGCTGACTAAGCATCTAACCCAGAGAACACTCAATACACCATGAACTCGGTCCTGTCCCCAAGGTGAGGAGAGGAAGGTGGGCTGCAGAGTAGGAAGGGTCGGGTTGGGTTGGGGACCAGGGTCAAGGCGGGGAGCAGGGGCAGGGGCACTGACCCTCGCAGGCCTGCTGGCCACTCCGGAGGCTGTAGCCAGCTGTGCACATGCAGGAGCGGGTGGACTCCGACGTGGGCAGGCAGAGCTGGGAGCAGTCGCCGTTGTTGACACTGCAGGGGTTGGTGCCCTCGTGGTCTGGGGTCAGGTGGGAGGCAGAGAGAAAGGGTTAGTGGCTCTCCTCGGGACCGCGGTGTCAGGCTCACACCCCTTTACCCTGGACCCTGTGGGGGTCACCACCCAACCCCGCTCTCAGGTCTTCTGTCCTGCAGGGCCCCTGGCCCTTGGGTGGTGAGCAGAGCCTAACCCATTTTCACTCCCATTTGCTTACTTGCCCAGGGGTTCCTGCAGCCCCTCCTGGCCACAGCCCCAACCTCTGTGACCCCCATCCCACTGCCCCTGCCCCTCGCCCCCCGCCTCACCCAGCTGGATGCTCTCATCGTAGACCTTCATGTGCATCACCAGGGTGGTGCTGTTCCGCAGGACCACGGCGCCCGAGCCGTCAGCCTTGTTGCACGTGCCCATCTTCTCTGACACCTGATCTGCCCACCACAGCTTGTCCCCTGTGGTGGCAGGAGGAGATGAGACCCTGGGGAAGGCCCCGCCCCCAGGCCAGACCTGTCTCCTGGCCAGTCTGGCCCGCCTGCTCTGCTCTGGTCCCTGCTCCCACCCAGGGGCCCTCACCCATGATGGCCAGGGCGGTGGCCTTGCCCAGCTGGTTCCGCATGGCGTCGATGACCTCTAGCCCACTCCCGTCCAGGTTGCAGCGGTTGATGGTATGGTTCTTGGAGCTGATCCAGTAGAGTTTGCTTTCAGGGAAGTCGATAGCCAGGCCTGGAAGAGGAGGGGGGTGTCACTGCCAGAGAGCATGGCACCAGGGCCGGGATCCAGGAGCCTGACCCAGCTGGGCCTCTCACGTCTGGGGATACAGAGTGAGGTACAGAGTATGTGTGTGGTTTTGGGAGGAGGGTGGTGAGAGCAAGTACTAAGCCAGAAGTTTGGGGAGATGGAGCGACAGCTGGGGAGAACACTGAGAGCACCTCCTGGTGGAGGAATTAGGGGAGGCAGGGCTGCAGGGCAGCAGGGTGAGCTCGTACCCACAGGGCCCCTCTGGCCACTGAAGAGCAGGGTGCGGTTGCTGCCGTCCATGTTGGCCATGCTGATGTTGTCACCGTCCGTCCAGTAGAGCTTCCTGGGGGCGCCAGGAGGGGAGGGTCAGAGTCCTCTTCTCCCCCCACTCCACACCCCATGCTCCCCAACCCTGGGCCCTGGACCTACCCACGCAGCGGGTGGACAACCAGGCCGTGGGGCTGCTCCAAGCCCTGCACCACCGCATTCTTGAAGGAGCCGTCCAGCCGGGCCACGTTGATCTGCTTCTTGTTGGTGTCGTAGCTTGTCCAGAACAGGTTTCGGGACACCCAGTCGACAGCCAGCCCATGGGCATTTGGCAAGTCTGGGGACACAGTGGGGAGTTGTGATTGGGTGTTTTCAGGACACAGGTCAGGAGGCTCGCGGGGAGGGGCCAGCCTGGTTTCTGGGGGAACAGGGATCATGAAACCAGGACTGGAGCCAGAGAGGGAAAAGAATTTGGAGAAGGAACATCAGGACCAAGGGGACCAGGTAGTGGGGCTAGGACCAGGGTTGGGAGCGAGGGCGGGGTTGGGGGGTACCCATGCCCAGTAGGGGTTCCAGGGCCAGGACAGAACCTGCAGAGACAACCGTCTCCACGCCTGTGCCATTGATGAAGGCCCGCTTGATGGCCTGGGTCCGCACGTCGGACCAGTAAACGCGCTGCTCTCGGGCATCGTAGTCCAGCACCGTGACGTTGTCGATATCAGGCACCGTGAAGGAGATGATGTAGTTGTAGTAGGGGGCGTCCAGGTCCACGCCCCGGATCTCCATCTGACGTGCGTACAGCAGGAACTTCTTAAACTCTGTGGGCACGGGGCAGGTCACTGACGGCGGCCCCCTGCCTCCACGCTTCCCACCCCCCCGGATTCTCCTGGTTCCTTCTGTTTGCTGCTGGCCCTTGGCTATTAGGGAGACCCTGTTGGGCATAACCTTCCTGCCGGAGTGCCAGCCTCTTCCTACAGCAGCTGTCTCTGGAGCCTCTCCGTTCAGGATGCTCCCAGCTGAGACTGCCGACCTTCACTTAGAACCTGGAGCTTGGGTACCTGACCCTTTCCCCTTCAGCCTTGGAGGGGGGGCCTCCTACCATAGCAGGTGGTGCTGTCCTTGTGGAGCTTCATGAGGTGCGGGCAGGCGCAGGAAACCGTCCGGTTGTAGTTGATGAGGCACAGGTGGGAGCAGGGGCCCCGGCCCCCATTGGCCTCACAGGGGTTGGGAGCTGGGAGGGCAGGGGAAAGCAAGAGCATCCAGTGACCCTACTGGCCCTGCTCACCTGGTCTTCACCCTCTCCACTCCCCTTCCTGTCCCAGCATCGCTGCTGCCAGGCCCACCTCTGTCAGCAGGCTGGCTCACCCCCACCGCCCCAGCATAGACCCCTCCTCTCTTGGAAGCTTCTACAGAGGCTGCTGGCTCCTTTCTGGTCCCTTACCCATGGGCTGCCGGGAGGGGTGATACACCTGCAGGTCGAAGGGCTGGGTGTTGGTCCTCTGTACCACGGTGACATTGTGGCCGGTCCACTTGTTGGCCTTGGCCAGCGTGTTTGTCCGCCAGTCCGTCCAGTACACCTCGCCACCATACAGTGTCACTGCAAACGGGTGCGACAGGAACTCGTGTCCCCGAAGCACCTCCATGTGACCGGAGCCGTCGTAACGGGCTGAGTAAATGGCGTCTGACCTGAGAGCGTGGTCGGGGCAGAGTGAGGAGCCGGGTGGGGACCTCAGACCTCGGGGCACGTGGCCTGGGGCTCCCACCCTCCATGCCCCAGCCCACGGCACCCTGTGGAGCAGGAACCACGTGGCTCGAGGTCTGGGATCCCAGCTCTGACCCCAATTCCCCTGACCCAGGTCTTTCAGCTTGCTTCTCCCCAAGGCTGCTGTTAGCACACAGGGCTGTGGTGAAGACTAGAAAAAGGGACCCGCTTTGGGGACACCACCTAGAAAAAGTCTCCCCTCTCCCTGGGCAGACAGAGTCCCTAGGAGAGCACACAGATGTGTGAGGATGGCGTTGCACTTCGGCCCTCGGCGGGCACTCCCGTGCAGGGGGCAGCCCTGCCTCTACCCTCTTCCATCTGCTCCTCTTCCCCAGCCCAGACTCTCCTCTCACTCAGTCCTCTTCCTGGTCCCTTGGCCGTGTGGCTCTGGCTCCAGCTCCCCGGGGTCTTCTCACCACCCTCATGGCTGCCAGGTCCTGGGACCCTTGGCTCCACCCTGTCCCTAAGGAGGAGGGGAGGATGGAGGCCTCCTGGATGAGGCGCTGGTGCCGACCTGGCGTCGATCCAGAGGATGCGCTTCTCCAGGTAATCCACGGTGAGCCCGTTGGGCCAGCCCCCAGAGCCCGTCTCCCGGTGGATGGTGCGGCGCCCAGCCCCACTCATGGAGGCTGCCTCGATGCGGGGCAGGCTGGCATCCCAGTCCGTCCAAAACAAGATCCTGGGGAGCGGGGAGGGAGTCAGGATGGCCAAGGTCGAGGCCCGGGGAAGGGGCTCTGCTAGGATCCTTGGTGAAGGCCGGAGGGAGCAAATAGCATTGAGGAGGCAGCTACGCCTGGCCCGGCCCGGCCGAACGAGGCTTCAGGGGGGTCATGAGGCCAGAACAGGGCTGGGCGGGGTCCTCACCCATCCCGGGGATCCAGTGCAATCGCCCTTGGGTGCTCAATGTCACCGGCCAGCAGCGTGGTCCGAAGGGTCCCATCCAGCTTGGCCACCTCAATCTGGTCCAGGTTACTCTCCACCCAGTAGATGTTGCCTGCGATCCAGTCTACAGCCAGGCCCTCGGGTGTGGCTAGGCCATACTGAATCACCACCTCGAAACTGGTCAGGGCTGGAGAAGAGAGGTTGCAGGAGGTTAGAATCGCCTGGGGTGGGGTGAATTCACGATATCCTAGGAACCCTGGATGGCCCACCCTCAACCCTGACACCTCTGCAAACACCTCTGGTGTGCTCCAGATTTGACTGGGGTTCCCAGAGCCCCCGCTCTCCTCACCCAGGCCCCCTGCCCCAGGAGGTCAAGTAGAAGCCTGGCTTCCAGAACACTGGAGAAGGGGAAGTGGCAGCTATCTTCTGCCTGCAACTCTCTGAAGGGCTAATCCCTGGTAGGAGGTCAGAGCAGAGGGTGAGGGCTTTGGGGAACAGACCTAGACCCAATATGAGGCAGACAGAACTTTCTAGAGGTTTTTCAATGGTTTTATATACATATATGTGTGTACATATATATGTATATATATGTCATTAATTTAGAAACCATTACATAGTGTGAACATTTTCACAGTCTACTAAGCCATCCTCTTGTTGATGGATATTTGAGGTGGTTCCAGGGTTTCTCTATGACCAACAATACCAATTCCTCTAGTAAACTGGGCTTCTTCTAAGTCTTTGCTCAGACGTCAGCTTCTCAGGGGGCCTTCCTTGACCATCCTATTCAAATACCACCCCCATTCTCCCTACCCACCTTGCCTCCTTTCTTTTTATCCACAGCGCTACCCGCTCTGTCACAGTCCATGTCGCACTCATTTGCTGTGCTTATATCTGACGTTCCCACTGGTGTGTAAGCTCCATGAGGGCAGACATTTTGGCCTGTTTGCTCCCTGCTGTCTCCCCTGGGCCCGGTGTGTGTAGCAGGGGCTCAGGAATGTGGGGTTTTTTGGTTTTTTGTTTTGGCCGCGCCGAGGGGCATGCGGGATCTTAGTTCCCCGACCAGGGATCAAACCTGCGCCCCCTGCAGTGGAAGCGTGGAGTCTGAACCACTGGACCACCAGGGAAGTCCCAGGAATGTGTATTGTTAGTGAAGGAAATCTGTGATGGGTCAGGCCGCCTTGGACAGCAGGCAGGGTTCAGGTACCCCCCCCCCCAAATGCCTTTTTTCTTGCAAGCCTGCAATTCTGGCCATTTCAAAGAAAGGCTGATCATTTTGTTAATTATCAGTCTGGCAGCTCTGCTGACAATAATTACGGGGCGTCAGGCACTGAGACCCACAGCAAAATCTAACCCAATTAACAAGAGTGTGGGGGACAGGGGAGCTAAGGGCCTCGGCTCCTGGCAGCCTGCATCTGGTCCCACGGTTCTGAGTGCCCAAGGGCCCGGTCTGGGTGCACTGGGCCTCGCGTCGGTCCTGGGCAGGCGGTGGTCACCTCCGTTGTCCAGCAGCTTCCCGCGGTAGATCTTGTCCTCCACCACGTCGGTCCAGTAGAGGGCGCTCTGGCTGAGGTGGAAGTCCAGGGCGATGGTGTTGCGCAGGCCGGGCACCAGGACGCTGTAGTCCCCTTTGTGAAGGTCGATGCGCCGGATCTCATGGCGGTTGGAGAAGATGATAAACGGCTTGAAAGGGTCTGAGGAGGAGTGTGCTGGGTCACAAGGGGCCTGTTGCCTCCGAGCCACCCTGTCCAGGGGAAGGCAGGGTCTCCATGGGCCCTGGCACCGGGCCTGGATGGAAAGCTCAGCCTCTGGCATTCGGCCGCCCGAGTCCAGCCTACTGCAGCTCAGGGGCCTGCCCGGCCTGCCCAGCTGCCCGGCCACCCCGACCCACGTCTCACCCAGGCTGCGGCAGCTCTCGCCGTCCGGCTCCAGCACCCAGCCCTCATAGCAGGAGCACTTCACACTGAACTTGTTCTGGTCGCACTTCTGGCTGCACTTGAGGTGCTTGGCGCAGTAGCTCTGGATCTGGCACGTGTGGTTGTCAGGCCCCAGCTCCATGCCCAGAGGACACGAGCACACTATGCCTTCGCCAGGTGCCACCGAGCAGTTGTGGCTGCAGCCACCGTTGTTCAGAGAGCACTGGTCTGGGGGGTGGGGAGCGAGGGACAGGACCAGGGTCAGGATCCGGAAGGAGGCAGGACCGTGGCCTGGCTGGGCCCCAAGTCCCCAGTAGCCGAGACGGCACCCTGGCACCCTGCCTGTGGCGTCCTTTCCATTCCTCTGTCCCACTGCTTCCCAGGCTCCCTCGGGACCAGGGTTGGGACCCTGGCACCCACCACGTAGGACCAACCCTCTCCTTCCCCTGAGGAGCACCCGTCCATTGTGGCTGCATCTCTCTCTGGCCTCTATTTCCCTGCCCCTTCTTGAGCCCACCGTGGGGGCCCCAGCCTTTCGCCTCTTTCTGGGAGGGTCCCCTTTCCTCTCTCTCTCCTGATGTAGGTGTGATTTGGAGGGGTTGTGGTAGGGAGTGTCCTGCTCTGGGTCCTCTGACACGCCCTGGGACCTGCCAGCCCTGAAGGATGACCCGTCAGCAGTTCTCAGGGCCAGTCCTTATCTCCTACTCTTCTCCTCCGAGAACCTGACTCTGCTTGGCTCAGAGGAGATAAGGCTGCTCTGCACTGCTCTGCAGCATGAGCCGTGGCTGAGTGGGCTGCGCCTGCAGGGTGGGGCTGCGCTGCACTGTCTCCACAGCACCTCGCGAGCAGTGTGACCTTGGGCCAGTTACTTAACCTCTCTGAGCCTCAGTTTTCTCATCTGTAAGATGGGGGTGAGGATCATATCTGCCTCACAGAGCTCCTTTATGGATTAAATGCTTTAACAGTGTGACGCTTAGCACAGCCTCTTGGCAAAGTGAGTCCTAAATCGACACGGGTGTTTGTTAATTGCTCTGGGTACTACTTGCCCAGCTGCGACAGCTGTCCTTTTCCAGTCTGAGGCCTCTCCCCACAGAGCTTGTCCTGTTCCACTGCCCTGGCCTGGCCCAGACTCCTTATCCAGCCCCCCTGCCCACTCCTCTGCTGGGGCCTCTCGTAGGCCCAGGCCTCACCGCAGAGCTCTCCCTCATCCGAGCCATCTCCACAGTCATCGTTGCCGTCACACAGCTTGTCAGGGGGCAGGCAGACCGAGGTGTTGTTGGCACAGGGGTGTGAGGGTGGCCTGCAGGCCAGGGACTCACAGTTCTCCTCATCCGAGTTGTCCTCACAGTCGCTGTCGCCATCGCACACCCACGCTTTGCTGATGCACCGAGCTGGGGGATGGGTAGAGCATGAGGGGCCAGGCCTGGGCAGCAGGGCTCTCCGTGCCCTTCTTCCCAGACCCAGTGGGCTTCTCTAACAGGGTCACGACTACAAGGCCTTGGGGTCCACTAGGAACCTTGAGGCTTTTTCTGTCAAATTCACATGGGCAACAAAGAAGGTAGGAATCTGTAGGAGGTGTTGAAGCTCAACACTGGTGAGGGTTTTGGCTCCCAGGGCCCTTAGTGCAGGCCCTGGCCCCTGCATGCCTTCCCCCTTGCATCAGGCACAAGCTTTTTATGTGCAGCCTTTTGCCTCACAATGTCCCCACCCCACTCCTCACAGCACAGTGCTGTCTCCCTTGCCACTGCTCTGCTCTCAGCAGGGTCTCCTCCTGTCCATGCCGTTTCCCTTCAGTCCTTTTTACCAGAGTCTTTGCAGCCAAACTTGACATTGGGGTCACAGACGTGGGTCACTCCCTCACAGCTCTTCTCGTCACTGGAGTCCATGCAGTCAGTGTCCCCATCACAGCGCCACCGCAGGGGGATGCACAGACCATCCAGCCGGCACTGGAACTCATCATTGTGGCAGCCGCCAGGAGGCCTTGTGGCTGCAGGGGGACAGGGGCACGGGGGGGTTGAGGGCTCCAGGTCAGCTGTTCCCATCTCTACCTTCTCAACCCCCTCCTGCTACACCCAGCCTGGGGCTATGAGCTGAGGCAGGGATGGAGAGTTCTCTGAGTCCTGCTGACACCCCTCGAAAGCGCTAACTCAGAGTCAGGGCTATTACACCTTCCAGGACTCAGAAATCACCTCGTCTAATCTCCCTATTTTACACACGAGAGCTTGACTGGATAAGCAATTTGCTAATAAGCCAGAGCTCAAATGCCCCCACCTCAGCCTAGCCTCCGTTTCATTCATTCACTTCACAAACACTTATTGAGCACCTACTGTGTGCCAGGCACTGTTTCAGGTGCCAGCATGAACAAGACAAAGTCCTTACCCTCATAGAGCTGAAGTCCTAGCAGGCAAGAGAAACAGTGAAGACATGACACAAAAATCCAGAATGGAACTGCAGGTAGTGATCAAGGCTATGCAGACAAAGCCAGGTCAAGGTCAGGGAGGATGGGATGCTACTTGAGACAAGACAGTCAGGAAAGGCCCTTAAGCAGGAGACGTTTGAGCCGAGGCCTGAATGACGTGAGCCATGAGATTAACTGGAGTTGCATTCCAGGAAGAGGGAACAGCTAGTGCAAAGTCTCTGAGGTAGGACCATGCAGGGCATATTGGAAAAATGCCCAGGGCATATTTAAGGCTGCACAGTTGGAGCAGAGTGAAGGAGGAGATGAGTGGCAGGAATGCAGGTCAGATAGGTTGGGGGAGTCCAGCAGGCCATGGAGCGGGACTCAGCAGGAATTCAAAGTGTACAGGGAGCCAGTGCAGGCTTGAGGGCAGGGCCGGGGAGAGATCTGACATGTTCTGTAGGATCACACTGGCTGCTCTGGTGAGATCTGACTCAGGAGTCTGGGGAAGGAGCGGAAGCAGCACCCGAGGCACAGGTGACTGTGCACGAGCCTCACCTCACACTCCCGCTCCCCCGACCTGCCCCACCAGGAACACGGTCGACGCGCTCATCTCATGCCTGGACTTCAGCAGCAACCTCCGAGCCGAGTTTCCTTCCTCAGGGCCCCGAACCTCTTTCCAATCTAATGCCCTTCCAGGATCGTCTTCTGAAAGCATTTCCTACATCTTATCACCTTCCAGCTTTGAGATCCTTTGAAGGTCCCCAGTGCCTGACCTGCTTTCACCTGCTGTTGTAATCTACCCCCTCCAGGCACTGCCTCATTCCCTGCTGTCCCCTCTAGTCTGAGGGGCCCCACGCAGCCCCACTGGCCCCTGCAGCAGTACGCAGTTTCACCTTCGAAGTCTTACTGCTGGGTTCTCCAGGCCACTCCCACCCTCCATCTAAAGACCCTTCCTCTAGTTACCGGGGGTATGGGGGGGAAGGATAAAATGGAAGACTGGGATTGACACCTACACACTACTATATATAAGATAGATGACTAGTAAGGATCTACTGTAGAGCACAGGGAACTCTAATCAATACTCTGTAATGGCCTATATGGGAAAAGAATCTAAAAAAGAGTGGATCTAGGTATATGTATAGCAGATTCACTTTGCTGTATACCCGAAACTAACACAACATTGTAAATCAACTATACCCCAATAAAAATTAAAAAAAAAAAAAAAAGACCCTCTCTCTTGTCCATTTACCCACAGCCTAATCCCTCTTCGGGGCCCAGTTCAAATCCCACCTCCGCCGGAATGGTCCCAGACCATTCCAGCTCACAACTATAGTTAACAACTGCTACCAATCATGACATCTCTGCTCCCACGGGCCAGGCCCCCGCACACCTCCTCTCACTTCACAGAGGAGGAAGCCAAGGCTCAGAGGAAGCAACTTGTCCGAGTTCACCCAGCTTGTGAGGGGCAGAGAGCTCTTCCCACCTCACCACTTCACGGGGCTCCAGGGGTCCTCTTCTCAGAATCCCAAGGCACTATTACCCGTCCCACTCACCCGACCCTTCTCAGAGACGGCCCTCGAGGCTCAGTGACTGTTTCCTGGGCCTCGGGAGACCCTCCCCATCCTCCCTCTTAGTGCTGGGCCTGCAGTGGGTACTCAGTGCTTTCAGTACTGTCCCCACTATGCACACCTTAATTCTACAAGGCAGAGGTTGTAAGCTGGTGGTCCAGGGGCCAGATGAGGCCTACAGAGAGATTTTGGTCTGCCATGTTTTTAAAACTTTTCAAATCAATTTCCAGTTGTATGGGTTGATTTGCTCTCCCTAAAAAGATGCTGAAGTCCTAATTCACAGTACCTGTGAACATGACCTTATTTGGAAATAGGTCTTCCTTTGCAGACGATCAACTTAAGATGAGGTCATTAGGGTGGGCCCTAATCCAATATGACTGCGTCCTTATATAAAGAGGCAACCTGGACACAGAGACAGACAGGCACCCAGCGAGAACGCCATGAAAGATGGAGGCAGGGATCGGGGTGAAGCATGCAAAAGCCAAGGAACGCCAAATATTGCCATCGAACGCCAGAAGCTAGGAGAGAAGCCTGGAATAGATTCTCCCCCATAACCCTTAGAAGGAACCAACCCTGCCAACATTTTGGTCTTGGACTTCTAGCCTCCAGAACTGTGAGACAATAAATTTCTATTGTTTAAGCTACTTAGTTTGTGGTACTTTGTTACAGCAGCTCTAGGAAACTAATATACCAGTGCTTTAAAATGGGTAGATTTCACATATAAATCTGCATTTCTGACTTCTCTTGAGGTCAGGGCAATCTCGGGTCTGCATTCTTCCATGGTAACCATCGGCCAGGGATGAGAAACCAACACCCCTTGAGGAGGTCTGTGCCTTCCAGTAACCCTCGCCTCCACGGGGGATCCCACAGACGCTAGGTCCTGGAGGCCTCGGCACTGGGGACCCCACAGAGCCAACCCTTCTCTCCTTTGGTCCCCACTGGGCTCATTCACCCCTACCCCTCTGAGCATCCCTTTTTCATGCTACCAGCTACCAAAAACGAGCTGTGTGCCTTCCGCGTACCATCTCACTGAAACCTCACACCAACATGATGATGCCCGTGCTATTATCATCCCCACCTTGCAGATGAAACTCACAGGGGCCCACGGAGATTAAGTAACTTGCTCGAGGCCGCCCAGATAGTAAGCTGCAGAGATGGAGCTCAAACCCAAGGCCACCCAACTGCAAAGCCTGAGATCTTAACAGCGTGTGACAGTGATTTGTCGACAACCTCCCTCTCCCACAGGACTGGAAACTGCTGAAGGATAAGAGCCACGTCTGGGTTATCTCTGGTTCCCCGATGGTGGCAGCACGCTGTGGGGAGGGTGGATGGATGGTGGAATGGTTTGGTCCCCACCCCACTGGTCCCTAGGTGCCCACCCTGGTTGGTGCAGTTGGCGTGTGTCTCATCGCTGTAGTCCCCGCAGTCGTTGTCCCCATCGCAGGTCCAGTGCTCGGGGATGCAGCGCCCGCTGTTACACTTGAACTGGGTGCTAGAGCAGGAGTGGCTGCAGCCGGCCTCGTCACTGTTGTCCCCACAGTCATTGTCTGGGGGGAGGCAAGAAGGGAAGAGGAGGGCAGGGGGTCAGCAAGTGGCCTTCTCTATGACCCCAGCATGGGGCCCCCACTCCCACCTCCCCATTCCCACCCTCGACCCACCCCATCCCTCCCACTGAGAAAATAAAAAACAGAAAAGACACAGAAACTGCATAGACTGCAGCATGCACCATGGCCCACGTGATGGGGGCAGGGAGAGAGAGGCAGGGCAGGCTCCAGGAGGGCCCTTCCCTGAATCTCGGAAGGCTGGGGCTGGGGCTGGGACTCATTCATTTCCCCTTTCAGCAGGGTGTGGGAACAGGGGTCCGCTTGCTTTGGGGGAAAGGCAGGGATTTCTCTGGCTCTGGCGGGACAAAGGTGGGCGGAGTAGAGGTGAGGCCTCTCTGCTGGGGAGGGAAGGTGTTAATCAGGCCCCGCCCTGAGCGTGGGCATCACCAGCCCCAAGCTCTGGGCTCCCGGCTCATGAGGGGCACTGCCTGAAGCTGGGAAGGCCGGGGGGGGCCCCCTCCTGAAGGCATCTGAGGCTGACTGAGCCAATGTCTTGCTTTCTGGGCCTCGTGGAGCGGGGGGGCACCAGACTTCCCTTCACATTTTCAAGACGCCTGAGAAGACGAGTTTGGCCGACCCCTTGGGTTGTGTTCCTGCCTCTTCTCCAGCTGCCTCTGCATCTCTGACGCTCTCCTTCCCCCATGTCTTGGTCTTCTTGTCCCTGCCTCTCTGTCATCTCTCCTGTGAAAGGCTCCTTCTGCCCTCTCTGCTTTCCCTTTCACTGTTTTCTTTCTCCCTCTGTCATTTCCTCTCTCTTTTCTCTCCTTGCTTTTCCTTCACATCCTAGGAGCTCTGGGGTGGGGAGCTGCATGGGGCTCCTGGGAGGAGGCCCAAGGCCAGCTGGGGCTCTAAGGGAGATGGTGCATGTGCTTCTATGCACTGACCGGCAGGCTCAGGACAGGTCTTTTCATCAGAGCCGTCCCCACAATCCTTCTCTGAAACACAGAAACCGCCAAGGCAACCATTGGCACACGAGACACGGCAAAGATGAGGGGCAACATGGGGCTGACCCAATACATCCTCACACACATTAGCCAGGGCTCGAGCCACTGCTGCAACACATCACAACACCACACCAGACACGACCAGAGCCCCAAGACGGCACAGACACAACAATCCACTGGCCCCCACGGCTGACATCACCTGGTCCAGGGTTGACCGCCAGGTGGGCTCCCGAGTCTGGAGCCAGAGCCTGGAGGGACCCCAGGAGACGGGGTTTGCAGGGAGAATGGCATTGGGCATGGGCTCTCCTTGCTCATCTCTCCCTGGCCCCTGAGCCTCTGCCAGAGGATGGGCAGCTCAGGCCCTGCCCGGGGAGGAATGGCACTGACAGGTGATGGGCGAGGTATCCCCTGGGTCCATCTTGGTTCCCCCACAGTGTTTCTAGCTTGTCCTTATTTCTCCCGGACAACCCAGGGGGACTTCTGTGAACTGGAGGAAGGCCCCGGCTTGATTCTAAAACCCCTTCACCTGCCACCCAGGGCCTGGCTGTGGCTTCTAGCTTGCCTAGGAATCAGGGCAGGTGAAGGGAAACAAGCTCTTACCATTGTCACATCTCCAGTTGATGTTGATGCATCTGCCGTTGTTGCAGGTAAACTGAGTCAGGGGGAAGCAGGTGGGATAGGCTGTCAGGGAGAAAGAGTAGCTGAGCAGGGTCCTCAAGATTATTTAGCATCATAGCACCAAGCAGGTGGGCGCTGGGTCCTTCCCATAACCAGCAGCCCTCAGCCCAGCCAGATGGGGGAGGGAAGGCTAAGTGGAGGTGCCTTGGCCTGGAACTCTGCCCATTCACTCCTACCCCTCTAAGCATCCTTTTTTCTAAGCAACTAATTACCAAACGCAGGCCGTGCGCTGAGTGCTCTCCGCGCATGATCTCACTGAACCCCTACATCAATGCTGTGACGTGGATGCCAGTATTATCCCCACTCTGCAGATGAAACTCACAGGGGCCCACGGAGATCGAGCAACTTGCCCAAGGCCACCCAGGTACTAAGTTGCAGGGTCTCTCCAGCACCCCCGCCCCAGGGCATGCTCTCGTGGGCCCTCCCTCCCCGTGCCAGCCTGGCCTTCCTGCTGTCTTGCTCACCACATGAGGCTGACTCATCGGAGCGGTCCCCACAATCGTCATCCAGGTCGCACGTCCAGGAGATGGGGATGCAGCGGCCACTGGCACAGGAGAACTGGTTGGGTGGGCAGGTGCGAGCTGGGGACAGGGATGGGCGTGAGTGCTCACAGCTGAGTCCCCTCTTTAATTTCACTTGCTTTGCTATTATTCTCTGCCTCTCTGGAAGTCTCCCCAAGGACCTCAAAGCTATTCTTCTTAGAGACATCATTCAAAATCACCTACGTGGTCTCACACCGGACGCTTCACCCCGTCTCTCGAGGGGTCGCTGGTGTCCTCCAAGGAGAAGATCCACCCGCCTTGCTTGTCATCCCCAACCTAGAGCTGTGCTCTGTCCCCTGAAAGCACGGGCCTCCCAGCCAACCCTGTCCTCCCTTCCCCTCTGCCCTGGGTGCCCCGTGCTCCTTTCTCTCCCTGAGGCCCCTCTGTCTTCCCAATCCTGGCTGCCCCGCCTGCCCTGCCCTGGTGACTGAGGGGTGCCGGTGTGGTCACGCCCTTCCCACACCTGAGCAAGTGGCATTGGACTCGTCTTCGCTGTTCCCGCAGTCATTGTCCCCGTCACAGAGCCAGCGGTTGGGGATGCAACGGTTGTTCTCGCACTTGAACCGGTCCGAAGGGCAGGTGTGCTGATCTGAGGAGGGAGAGGTCAGGGGTCAGCCGGAGGGAGGGGCCCCCAGCTCTCCAGCTGTTGCCCAAGGGCCGGCTGTGCAGCAGGGACTCACGGCAGAGGGCGGGGGCCTCGTCGCTGTTGTCCAGGCAGTCGTTGTCCCCATCGCACTTCCAGCGTTCCTGGATGCAGCGGCTGTTTGAGCAGGCGAACTCGCCTGGCTGGCACTGGGGTGGGGGCACGTAGGACGGGTTTGCTGTGGGCACCACGAGGCGTGAGGGGGAAAGTCAGACCCAGGTCACGGACAGGTGCTGAGCCCCCTGTCCTCTGTTGGCTTGTTTTATGATTTTAAAATAATATACACAGTCATCTTTCCTAGTGCATAGTTCTTCGTGAAGAAATTATCTGGGTGGAAACTGCAACTCTTTCTCAGGCCACAAGGGTGATGTTTGCTCTGCTGCTTCCAGTACCTCAATGTGGTCTGAGAATAAAGGAGCTTCCAAGAGAGCCTAGAGCCCCCCATCCTTTTGTCCCCACAGAGCAGCCCGCCCCTTGCCCCTCCCTGCCATCTCCATGAACTGCCCCTTGGAAGTCATCTCCAGGACCCTCGGCCCCTGCTGTGGTCCCTGGACTTTTTCCTTCACAAATGCATCAACTCTACCGGCAGGAGTGAAAGCTCACACCTCACCACCACCGTCTGCCTTTGGCTATCAGCAGTGAAATCACTTCGTCCTTTGTGTTTGCACAGGGTAAGCTCAGGAAGCCCAGGACGCCCATGTCAGTCCCTGGCCCTGGCCCCCACTGCTCTGTGCATGCCTTTCTGACCCATCTCTCACCCCCTCTAATCCTGTGGGTCCCAAGGACCACTGGACCTGGAGGCTGTATGTGTCCACCTTGCTCCTCACCTGTGCTTCCAGACCATTCTCCCTCTCTCCCCTCTGAAAAATCAGTATTGACTTTCACGTTATTAGACTATATACGAACCCCTACTTCAAAGGACCCCAGGCTAGTCCCCCGCATCCTTAAGGGTTTTTAGCTCCTGGTTCAGGGTCACTTTCTCCAGAATCACTCCCTCTTTATTCTTGGTGATTTCAATGTGCACACAGGTGACTCTTCCATAATGCTGGCCCCTCAGTTTCTAAGCTCCTCTTCACCAATCCTCTTGCCCTGCACCTGGCCTCAGTCGCTCACTCTTAGGTGTGCACTATGGCCCACTGACCCATTTTCACTTCTGGGATTCTATCCTAAGGAAATCATCCAGAATATGGGAAGGCATGAAGCTATAAGAAATAGCAGAGGAGGTGATTAATAAACAGACTCTGGGTCAGGGTTCCTGGGTTCAAACCCCTGCTCTAACTTTGGGCCTCAATTTCTTCATCTATAAATTGGGGTAATAAAGATACCTTCCCTACAGGAATATTTTAAGGAGTAAATGAGTTACTGCATGAGGACTGCTTATAACCACGTGTAGTACATAGTCCATGTTCAATAAATGCTGGCTGTGATTACAACAAAAAACTGGAAACAACCTAAACATCCAACAGTAGAGAAATGGTTCAGTAAATTATGGGATGTTTACCCAATTAAATACATATTGGCCATTAGAAATTCTGCTGATGTATTCATGACGCACTGTCAAGTGACAAATGCAGGAAACAGAACAGCAAAAGTAAATATATAGAGAAATTGGGAGGTTGTTCACTGAAATGGTAACGGTGCAATCTATGGGTGGTGGAATTTGGGATGATTTGTACTTTCTCTTTTGTATTTTTCTATACTGTTCATTTATTTTTACAATGAGCACGACCCGCTTTTATTAAAAAATGGGGCTATTTAAAATAATGCAATAATAACTCAGAAAATTTGTGACATATATGAGCCAAAAGGGGCAGAAAACATTTATATACAGTATATTCCAACCATGTGAAAACCCACCTAAGGAAAAAAGGATGGTGTGCCTTTACCACAATACTAACAATATAGTGGTGTTTGCTGGTGAGACTGGGCTCTTTTTCTCTCCTCTAATTTCCAATATTCTGAACTATTGTATAAATTTAATAATGCGGAAATAAATGTAAAAGAAGTTAATGGTTTTCTCTTTCCATAGCTGTCCTGCTCCTCACTTGGTTTCCCTGATTTTCATGCCTTCCCAAACCTCCCACCCCCTGGTCACCCCTAAACACCCTCCAGCCCTCAGAGCCTTCTTCTCTCACCCCATCCCTCACCTCCTATTGCCCCCAGGGCCCTCTTTGCCTCCTTCGTCTCCGACGGGGACACCGTGGCCTCCTCCTGCTGGGGTCTGCTCCCCCACCTCCCACCCCAGCTGGGCCCCTCGTACCCAAACAAGTGACACCGTCTGTGTCCAACACCTGGTCCTCAGCACAGGCACACTGGCGGCTCCCAGGGGTGGCCAGGCACAGGCTGCTGCAGCCGCCATTGTTCACCCGGCACTTGTTGGTACCCACTGTGAAGGAGGGGTCACAGATGGGAGAAGGAAGGAGGGGGAGGACAGGGGATGGGTTGCAGCAGGGTCAGGAAAGGCCAGAGAGGGGAGATGAGAGGCCGGGGGAGGAGACGCATTAAAAGGAGGAGACAGAAAGAGGAAATATGGAGGGGTTGAAGAAGAGGAGATGCAGTCATGGGGCAGGGGGGAGATGGGGAACACAGAAGGTCAGATTGGGGTGGGGGCCTCTCTTCTCGAGAGTCTCCAAAGTTAGAGCCTAGGATCCCTGGGGAGTGCCCTCACCCACCACAGGAGCCTCACCCCCCGATCTAGGTCCCACCCCAGACCCAAGTCCCAGCCCAGGGGTACCTTGCTGCTGCTGGGCATCATACATGCGGATCTCAAAAATGGGGGGCCGCTCGCTGCGCAGAAGGGTCACGATGGGGGGCGCGCCTCCTGTGCCCCGTTCCAAGCGGTAGACACTGCCACTCCGGTACTCGGTCCAGAAGAGGTAGTTGCCGTGGTGACACAGGCCAAAGGCGTGGTTCAGCTCAGGACCCTCGTACACAATCTAGGAATGGAGAAGAGGTTACCAAGGAGCTGGGAGACAAGTGGGGGTGCCTCAGGGAGGCCCGGGGGGTCAGTGTTCTGTACACTCATATGTCCATGGCCTGGGTGTGGGACTTGTCTCCCCCATCAGCCTAGAAGCCCCCAAGTGTGCACACCGTGAAGTGCCAGACCCTGAACCCAGCAGAGCGCGGATGGGGAGCTTGCCCACAGTCCTCTCTCGGGCTGATTCTTGTTCATTCATATCCCTCCGACACAGGCGCACGTGCGCACGCACGCGTGCACACACAGAGTAGTGAGCAGACAGCCAGGATCCATACATTCGTTTCTTCATCCACCACACATTTGCCAGGATCTATTAAGGTAGCACTAAGAAATGGAAAAGACGGGATCCCTTCGCTGGAGCTGCCTATTGTCTCAGGAAAGGCACACAAGGCTGTCCACGGCGGAGAGGGGTCTGGAGACAACACCCCAGAGGAGGCGGCCCGCCCCTGAGTGCTGTGCCAGTTGCGGAGGAGCTGGGTGGAGGCAGCAGAGGGCAGCACCCTGACGTGTGCTGGACTCGAAAGCTGTCTAGTGCTGCTGTTCCAAGTGCCGGGACGCAGGGAGCAGAGGGTGAAAGAGGACCACAGAGACGGTCAGGGGCCACACCACAAAGGGCCTTATATACCATGAAAGAGCTCGGTCCACACGCCTAGACTTGCACGGGGCTCATGGATGAAGCACGTAGCCCCCGGAATGAACGAGCGTGCGTCTACACCGTCTCTAGGCATCTCGCACCTGTACAGGGACACACAGTGCAGGCACACGCCAGTGTGTGCTGCCTGCGTGTGCACAACCAGGCAGAGGTGCACACGAGGTGTATGCTCAGGTGTTCACATGGGTGGTCAGGCCCACAGACCATGTGCATGGTCACAGAGATACTCCGATAGAAGCTAATCCTCAAACAACGTAAGACATAGGCACACAAGCACACAGAGGGACACACCCACAGGCTCACAGGTAAACACACATGAAGCACACAGGCCCGGACACACACAGACGCCCACACATTCAGACACACAGCCTCACCCGCACAGAAATGTGGTCCAGCAATGCACACATGAGCACCCACACACAGGTGCACGCCTGCCCACCTTCCGGTCCGTGCCATTGAGCAGGATGGTCTCGATGCGATCATAGAAAGCGTCCACCCAGTAGAGGCGCCCAGCTGGGATGTCCAGGCTCAGCCCATTGGGCCAAAGTACTGTCTTGGAGGTGACAAAGATGTCTCGGTGTGAGCCGTCCATCCAGGCCCTCTCCAGCCGCCCTCGCCGACTGTCCTTGGGGTCCTCCTCCCAGTCAGTCCAGTACATCCACCTGTGGGCAGCTACTGGTCAGCACCACATAGCCACCCCTGCCATCAACATCCTCCCCTGTGATCCCAATCCAGATGGGCCATCCCAGAGCTTCTCACAGGGGTCTTCCTGCCCTGCTCACCCTTAGCCCACATATTTCATTCATTCATTCCTCCATTCAACAAATATTTGTTGAATGCCTACTGAGCTGGGCACAGTTCTGGCGCTGGAGGACCCAGCAGAGACCAAAGCAGCCAAAGCCCCTGCTCTTGTACGGATATGTCCCACCCAGGACACAGACAAGAAACAAGTCAGTCGAGAGGGTCACACACAACGCAGAGCAATAGGAGTCAGGAGGGACTCGAAGCAGGGGCATGGCATGGAGAGTGCCCGGGCAGCCGGTGGGGAAGGCCTCTCTGAGGAAGTGGCATTTGAGCTGAGATGTGAATGCTGAGGAGCCACATATGCAAATACTTGGGAGTCCCAGGCAGGGCAACTCCAAGAGCAAAAGCCCTGAGGTAGGAAGAGCTGGAGTGCTGGTTTAAGGAACGGACAGCAGGCAGTGGGGACAGAACTTGCAAATGCAGGATGTGAGGTGCAGATGAGGTCAAACGAGCTGCAGGCAGACCCTGTAGGACCCCGGGGCTGATAAGGGCAAGGGGAGCCAGGGGAGGTCCCGCTGGGAGTGACAGGACCAGATTTCTATGCATGTGTTTAGAGCATCACTCCTATTGCCCTGTAGGTGGGGACACCTTTTCCCCTTTCAGCCCAATTCTCACCGAAGCATCCCACCTCGGCTGCCCTCCCCTGTCCACTCTCTCTCTTATCCCCCAGTCCTGAGGCCCACGCAGTCCCTGGCTCCTCCCCTCCCAAGGTCGTGGGAGGACTCACCCATTGAGCGGATCCACCACAATGGCCCTGGGGTGTGTCATTTTGCCCTCGATTAAGGTCTTGCGGGTCTGAGCAGCTTTCTCCAGCCTGGCCACACTGATGGTCTTCTTGGGCCCATCATCCGTCCAGTACAAATTGTCCCCCATCCAGTCCACAGCTACGCCCTCCACATTGTGTATGCCTGCAGTGGGCGGGGCGGAGCAAGGAGGGAGAGCCTCAAAGGAGGCTCAAATCTGCCTGCCTCTGGCTCTTAAGATACCTGCACCTTGGAGCACTTGGCTAGTGGGGAATGCAGGGAGACTCCTGTGCCCTAGACAGTGGCTGGGAGGGGATGGAATGAGAGGTTGGAGGAAGGAGCCTGGGAGGTCGTTTGTGCTGCCACATCTGTGTTGAGTCGGGGTCTCTCAAAGCTGCACATGGCAGGGCTTCCCTGGTGGCGCAGTGGTTGAGAGTCCGCCTGCCGATACAGGGGACACGGGTTCATGCCCCGGTCCGGGAGGATCCCACAGGCCGCGGAGCGGCTGGGCCCGTGAGCCATGGCCGCTGAGCCTGCGCGTCCGGAGCCTGTGCTCAGCAACGGGAGAGGCCACAACAGTGAGAGGCCCGCGTACCGCAAAAAAAAAAAAAGCTGCACGTGGCAGCAAGAAAACCTACGTGGCACACGTGGGCTCACTTGAGAAGGCATGTCAGGGCCTGAGCTGGGGTGGACAGCTGAAGCAATAGGCATGTGGCTCTGGGCACAAGTGCGACGCCACATCCCAGGCCTAAAACTCCTGAGCTAACAAAATGAATAAGTTAGGAAGTGATTTTTCACTTAGCCACAGGCTTCATCTCAAGCTAAATAGCATCCCTGGTACAGGGAACCCCAGTCCTCTCCTGATGAGGAGTTACTTTTGATTTCCCCGAAGTCTTATGATTGCTGACGGCTGAGGTTCTCTGAGCCGAGGTGGGGGATGGAGAGCAGGCCAAGGGGTGGTAACCAGCACCAGCCAGACTAACTGGTTAGGAAGCCCTGTCCTGGGGGCCCGAGTGCAGGTTTGGGAGTTCCTAACACCCGGGAGGCATGGTGCAGCGCTCGCTCGGAGGCTCAGAGCCTCCTCGCCGATGGATATTCAGAAGGCAGTGCACTGCTGACCTGCTGGGGCAGCTCAGAGGGAAAAACTGGATTCCATTCACAAAACACAATTTCCTCAGGACATGTAAGCATGCAGCTCTTGGCGGCCGTGAGGTCTGGCTGCACAGACCCTGTGTGTACACACGTGTGCCGGTGTGTCTGCGCCGATTCAGAGCCTCAGGCCTCTCCCCGGCTGTGCACTGCATGAAGCTCCAGGGCTCAGAGCCAATGGCAGAGAGACCCTGAGTTTTCCCAAGGGCTGGCAAGGACGGCCCACACTGCCTTAGCCATCCATCCTCCGGCCTCTTTCCGGCTCAGCCAAGAAGGGGGTCACCCAGGGGTCAATCTGTCTATCCCCTCATCTCCATGCCAACCAGCCCAGCTAGCCAGTCAGGTGGGGACTCTCCACGCTGGAAGGGCACCAGGAGAGAGATGCCCAGGCCCCAAATCACTTCCTGCCTCAGGTGGGCGCGTGCCTTGGGGGTCCCATCCACACACCTCCCACTTTGGGGCCCTTACCATCCTTCAGGATGGTCTCCCGCTCAGTGCCATCGATCTTCTGGCGGCCAATGAGGTAGCTGGTGGTGTCGGCAAAGTAGATGAAGCCGGTCTCAGCATGGAAGTCCAGGGCCCGGGGGTTCATGAGGTTCTCGATGGGGATCATGTGCTCGTCGGGGACCTTGGCCCCCATATCCATGCCCCGGATGATGCCTGGCCGGCCCTTGCCATACACGAGGAATAGCTCGTGTTCCGGCTCTAAGGCAGGCACAAGGAGGGGCACAAAGTCAGACACACACACACACACACACACACACACACACACACACACACGACCACCACCCAGCCAATGCCCCGGCTGTACTGGGTCAAGGGTGTGGGGACAGCAGGGGGTCTGAACCACATGGACAGACACATAAGCACGTAAGGTCCAGGGAACAACGCCCTGGGGGGTTTCTCCTATACACTCTAGGGGTGAGAAATGGGGTGAAAGTAGCATGTCTTCAGTAAGTGCCCTCTGTTGAGTAGTGAAATTAGTGGCCCAAATATGTTGGAATCAGGTCCCTTTTGACCACTTCCTCTGTTCATCCTAGTCTAAGCCATATCACTTCTTGCCTACACCGCAAAAACAGCATCCTGCCACTTCCCTGCTGCCCGTCCTCCACCCAGCAGCTAGCATGATCATTTTTACCAACGTGAATCAAATCTGTTAAGCCACCCAGAGCTTCTCATTCCAGTTAGAATATAATCCAACACCCTTCCTCATCTCCCCTCACTCACGCGCTGCCCCGCTCCCGTCCCCCTGCCGCCTCTCTGCTCTCCGGCACACCAAGCTCACGCTGGCCTCTGAGCCTCGGCACTACAGATTCCCTCTGCCGGAAACGCTCTCCTTTCAGGTACATGATTCACATGATTCACTTCCTCATTTCACAGAGCGCTTGACGTTAATATCACCTCCGCAGAGAAGCCTTCCCTGATTGCTGTCTAAACTGGAGCCTTCGCTGTCATTAACTCTAAGCTGCACTTTATTTTCTTCCTAACACCTACCCTCACCTCAAGTTATTTATGTGTTTGTCTGCCTCCCCTGCCAGACTATAAGCTCCATGAGGCCAGAGACAACGTCTATCTTGTTTACTGCTGAACCCTCACTGCCAGGACAGTGCCAGACATAGCGTGTGCTCACTAGATACTTGTTGAATGAAGGAAGGAATGAAGGGATGAATGGGCCAGTTGACAGTGTTCTCCGGAGCCTGAGTTGGGTAGCGGGATAAGCCCTGCTCTCGGATGGGAGTGCAAGTCGCATCCCTGTCCCTCACCAGGGCGAAACTTTGGGTAAGCCCCTCCATCTTTCTGCATCTCAGACAGATGCAGCTGGGCTATGGGAGGCAGGTAAGGACCCCTCCCGTCCCACCCCAGCAGGCACACAAGCCCTTCCCTGTCACTCACTCTTGCACGACTTCCCATCACTGCCCAGGCTGAAGCCGGAGCGGCAGCGGCAGGTCCGCGCCTTGTGACTGTTGGCCAGCAGACAGATGTCGGAGCAGCCTCCTGGCTTCCCGTACTGGTCATTCTCGCAGGCGTGGCTCCTCACTGGGGCAGGGTGGAGAGCTGGTCAGGACCCCTCGAAGCCCCTGTGCCAGGCCTTGAGAAGGCTTCCTGCAGTCTGACCACTCTCCCTCCTGCTAAGGTCTTTGTGCCTGTTGTCCCCTCTGGGGATTCGGAAGCCACAGGACTGGCATTCCTCTGCTCTGACACCACCCAGCCTTCAGACTCTTGGGTGGGGACCTCTGTGGTCAGGGGACAGAGTCACACTGTTGCCCACAGCCAGGCGCTTCTACTCTAGACCAGCCTGGGAACTGGGAGGGGTGATCTACGTCCTGAGCAGAATAGGGGCAAGGGGCTCCCTGGGGGTGGGATCTGGAGGCTGACGGGCAGGAAGGGGCAGCAGGGGAAGAAGACGGTGGAGAGGAGGTAGTCTGGGGTGGATGGCTAGGAGAAGCAGTCATGCCACAAGAGAATCAGGGGTGTCCCTAGCGGGGCTGTGGAACCCCGCTCACCTCGGGGCTGACGCCGCTGGTGGTAGATGTGGAGGGCACCTCCCTTGTCCACACGGGTGACGACCTGGTAGTCGGTGCTGTTGAAGCGGTTCACGCGGATCACGCTTGTCTTCTGCTGGGCGTTGGCATTGTCTGAGTTGGTGGCGTAGAGATAATTCTCAAACACGGTCAGGCCATACAGGTGCTCGATCTGAGATGGGCAGGCAGGAACGGTCAACATGAGAGGAGAAGAGAATCCTCCCTCTGCCCCTGGTGAGCCCCTCAGCTTCTCTTCCAGACTCCATAACTTGCATCCCCAAACTCATTCCACAGTTGTCTGACTCCGTGCTTTACTCCTGTCTCCTCTGGACTATCCTGTTCTTGAGATATGCTTGTCAAATCCCATCCACCCTTCACAGAGCATCTCTTTGAAGGGCTTCTGGAATCTTCTAACCAGAGAGGACAGTCTCTCCTTCCACACTCCATTTCTGGCTGTAATCCACTGTCCGGTGATCTGTGGGTTTACTCTACCCACTCGGCTCAAACCCCTTGAGGGCAGGAACCATATCCCTCTCAGAACCAGGCACACATTCAATGATGGGATGATTTTGCACTGAAGTAGAGTTGGGCCCTACACTCTGTCCACAGGGAACATTCTTAGTCCGCCTCTAGCTCCCAGCTTTTGGGAAGGTTGAGAGAACAGACTGGCCCCAAGCAAGCCTGATAACAGCCTCTGCTACCTGCATAATGTATCTAAGGTAACCAACTGTCCCAGTTTGTCCAAGACTGGCCCAGGGGACTTTCAGGGCTGACACTGGGACAGTCTCAGGCGAATCGGGATGGAGGGTCCCCCTAATTATCCCAGAAGAGAGATGTCATCTCTGAACTGGAAGGGCTTCTAGACTAGGTTCAAGTGCTATTTCCCAGCTGTGTAACCTCAAGCAAATCACTTAACCTCTTTGAATCCTGCCTTTTTTCAGCTGCCAAAAGGGAACTGAGACACCTGACCGCTCATTTTCCAGGGGCTTGTTGTAAGAACCCAACTCAAATGAGAAAAGGGAAGTAAAAGGTGGTCTCTAAAATGACTGTGGCCGTCCGAGTGGAAGCCATATTCTGTCCTTTCCCCCAGATGCTCGTGCCCACCCCCTCCCTACCAGAGGGCTCAGGGCAACCACGCTCCCATTCTGTCCCCCGCCCTCCCAAGAGGCCCAGAGAAGGGTTTCCCGGCCAAGACTTCCTCCTCACCAGGATGCCCTGGATGATGGTCTGCCGGCCCTTGCCCTCGTAATCCACCACCTCAATGTAGTCCAGGTAGGCATCGGCCCAGTAGACGAGGCGGCTGACCAGGTCCAGCGTGATGCCGTGAGGAAACACAATCTTGCTGTCGACCAGCTTGGTGCGGTTCTGCCCGTCCATATCACAGCGCTCCACTTTGGGGATCTGCCCGTAGTCAGTGAAGAACACCTTCCTGTGAGCAGATGGCATGTTAAATGGGGTCTGGACACTGGGCACCCTCCCTTCTACCACAGCCTCTGCCTCCCTGTTCCAGGGCCAGTGCCCCTGCCTGCCCCGCTCACCCCATGGCAGGGTCCAGTGCAATGCCCTTGGGGTTGTAGAGCTCCAGGTCTAGCAAAGTGACACACGTGTCCCCGTTTCGGTTGCAGACAAAGATCCTATCATCGATGTCATCCACAAAGTAGAAGTTGCCTGTCAGCCAGTCGATGGCCATCTGTTCCACGTCTGGAGAGTGTGAATGAAAGGGCTATGGGGGAGGTCCTCCCACAGACATGCCCACCCTCTGCTGGTGCAGAACCTACCGTGGGAAGCCCACCTCCTCTGGGGTGCCCTCCTTCACCACCCATGCCACGGCTGTCTCTCCTCCCTGAGCTCTTACGGGAGCTACTGGCAGTGGCACATTTTGCCTTGTGCTCTTGGCCACCCTTCACCTACAGGGTCTCTCCAAAGAGAAGTCTCTGAGTATCCTCCCACACAGCGTTGCTCCCCATGCCGAGCTCAGGGTGGGCACACAGGGGCACTGGATAATTGGTGGCTGGTTGGCTGACTGACAGGTTTCCCAACTCTAGCCCCTGCTTGAATGGGACCAACTTCTTGGGGTTCCAAAAGGCAGTGAGCATAGGTCTACTAGCTCATTCCAGAATTTTTTAAATCTGCTTTTACTTTAGATAAGAGCACTCAGGCTAATAAAACATCACACATCTCTGCTTTTGGCTGGACTTTCATCCTCTTTGTATGGTAAGTCGAGTTATATCGCACTAGCTAGGAGCACAGACTGGAAGCTGTACGTGCTGCATGACTTTTAAAAGTGGAAAAGCAGGGCATCCATCAATAAATCCACTCTGAGAGAAGAGAATGTCCAAATATGGGGCCCACAGAGATGGAAAAGGGAAGGTCCATGGTGGCAAAAGGTTAGAACCAGTGGCATGGGCCAAACTTCCAGTACTCATTCCCATTCCCCTGTTTCTTCAATGTCTCTACGGCTCAATTTCCTCCAGTCCTCGGGAGGGTGGGAAGGAGCAGGGAATAAGATAGAGGGCTGGAGGGCTTCCCTGGTGGCGCAGTGGTTGAGAGTCCGCCTGCCGACGCAGGGGACGCGGGTTCATGCCCCGGTCCAGGAGGATCCCACATGCCGCGGAGCGGCTGGGCCCGTGAGCCATGGCCGCTGGGCCTGCACGTCGGAGCCTGTGCTCCGCAATGGGAGAGGCCACAAGGGTGAGAGGCCCGCGTACCGCAAAAAAAAAAAAAAAAAAAAAAAAAAGATATAGGGCTGGAGGAGAGAGTGCAGAGGAGGAGAGCCATCAAAGGACTCTGAAGGTAAACTGAGGCATGGCTCAGAAAGAGGGGGAGCTTCAGAAGGGTGGGAGTGGGGGAAGAGGATGGAGACCAGGTGCCCATACTCAGTCTATGGCAAAAAGGGCCTAAGAGATCAGGGGTGGGGCAAGGGCAGCAGGAAGTCTAGGAGGCAGGAAGTCTGGGGACCCCCTGCTGGCCTCCTGGGGGGCGGTGTGGCTCCTTCTCTCCAGGACCCACTGGCTCCCATCCACCCACTGCCCCCTCCAACTACCACTATCAGAGGTGATACCTCTTGCAAGCAGGGAAGTTTCCAAGACAATGACTCCCTGGGACCCCTGCCTTGCACTCCACTTCCACCAATTTCCTCAGCAGGTAAAGGAGTCTTTGGACCACCTGTCTTTGGCTGAAACTTATTTATTTATTTATTTATTTTTTACTGAAATCCCCACTAGCCACACTCAACCTGGTAAGGATTATTCAATCCCTACACAGCTACAGGTATAATGACTAGGCTTTCTGCTCAGCCCTCCCTAATCCTCCCCCCTCCCTCACAGGGATTCAGGGGCTGTTTCCTAACAGTGGGTAGGGGTGGGGGGCACAGGGAACAGGAACACGGCTCCCAAGGAACTTGGCCAGGCCCTGACACTGACTCACAGTCACACGACTTAGGCTGAGGGAGGAAGGGAAAGAGCCAGTCTGAGACTCTCACCAAACTAGTTTCCTCTTCAGGTCCCCCCTGTTGAACCCCACCCCAAGATGCCTGGAGAAAGAGGTCACAAGGATGAGGTGTTACCCCTGTGACTGCTGATGTGTCCCTAAACCCAGCAACTCTCTCCTATGAGCCCCAGTACTGTCCCCTCCTGACAAGGTCAAAGAGAGGGGGCAGAGCAGCCTGGGCGCGTGGATCCCAGGCCGGGTAGGAAGAGGGCCCAGCGCAGGGGTTAGGCGAGCAAACTACCCCACACTGTGACCACAGAGAAAACAGATGAAAATGAACGCTGCTGGACCCCATCCAGAGGAAACCAAGGTCCCAAGCTGGGGCCGGGGCGGGGGGGGGGGGGGGGGGGGGGGGGGGGGTGGACCCTGCCGCAGTCGCAGGCAGCCAGCAGGGTGGGTGAAAGGCAAACAGGGCTGTGTGCCCTTTACTTGGTGGGCACGGTGGGGGTCCGGGGGATGCTGGCATGTAGGCGAACCTCATCACTCAAAGCTGTTTCCCAGCACCAGCTGGGGCAGCTGCGTCCTTCCCTCCAACCTCCTAAGGCTTCCCTGAGTCACTGCCCAGCTCCAAGGCTGGCAACACCCTTCCCCTGCTCCCCGATCCACCCTCCCTCGGCAAGAGGGGAGGAGGAAGAAACCTGAAGGGATCTGATGCCCCCCCATCCCAGATGCAGTTCCACGTCCTCCCCTGCAGCCTCAGGATGGCCGACCTTCGAGCCTCCCTGCTGGCCTGGGAAGGAAGGCAGAGGGATCGTCCTTCTCTCAGATGTTTACCCTTGGCTCGTCTCCTCTTCCACCTCCCAAAGGCCAGGCAGGGCCCCACTCAGCCTGCCGGTGAGGAGTTGGCAAGAACTGGAGTCCCCAGCCCGGCCTGGGCTCCCCTTTGGTATTTTTGCAGCTGGAGACTATTAGTTGCAAGCAAAACTCCTTTGTTATCCAACCCCTCCACCACATTATCTTCCTCTCTTCTCAAGTCCAGACTCCTCTGCACACCCCACCACATACACTCACACACATGCACACACTCACACGCACACACACGCTTGGCCAATCTTCCCATTGCAAGTGTAGTGAGACGGGCTCAGATTGGGAGAGGGCACCTTCCCTCCCGGGCTCCCCGCAGGCAGTGTCTGGGCCACTGCCCCCTGTCCCGGGGCGTGGAGGGGGCAACTGGAGTCCTGGGCTTCGGCCTGCAGGACCTGACGTTCTGTCTCCACACACCCAGAGGGCAGCTGGCCCCTCGTGGCCCAGCCTTCTCGGGACTGATCCACCTCATGGCACCCTCCACAAGGGCTCTCTGGCCAAAGGCCCCAGAGATCCTGAAGACGGGAGAATCCTGTAAACCCAAGGGGTGGGATGCTGTGTGGTGATGGGAGGAGTGTGGGGCTGGTCTGGAGGCTGAGGGGTTAGGGTTGCCAGGGTAGAGAAGGAGGCCAGGAAGCTGGGAGGGTAATAAGACAGAGGATAGACCACAGCCTGCCTGTGAGGGAGGGTAATAAGACAGAGGATAGACCACAGCCTGCCTGTGATATCACAAAGGACTTTCAGTTCCAGGCCCCAGAATAGACCTGGGCTGTGTGTTTGTAACTGCTGAGCCCTCCCTGTGCCCCAACGCTGATGCTCAGCACTCGGCACTCGCCACCACTCCAGCTTTCCTCGACGTCGCCCTCCTTCACGTCATTCAAGAGGCGTCTCCCTAAACTGGTGGCTGCTTTTCCAAAAACAACAGCCCCAGCCCATTCCCAAGAAGACCCTAACTTCAGCCGCAGGATTCTAGTCACTCTTCCTAAAATAATTCTGGGGAAGGAGGAGAGTCTCTATGCCTTGAGGAAATATCCCCCAACACATCCATACACCCAAGGATTGCAGAATAGGGTACCAGGTCCCTGGGCGAGGAAGGAAAATGCCATTTCCACCTTAACTACATCCCCAGTGAAGACACCAAGTTCTTGCCCTTGTTCCAGAAAACTTCCCTGCCTCTCCCATCACTCTGCCCTGGGCCCAGACAGCCTCCAGACACTGACAGCCTGGGTGTGAAGCCTAGTCCTGTCACCTTCCAACTGTGGAACTATGGGCAAGTCACCTGATGTCTCTGAGTCTCAGTCTGCGGATCTGGGATGGGATGGTGCATTAACAGCACTTAGCACGAGGCCTGGCACATGATAAACGCTCCACAAATGGGAGCTGTTGTTCATACCACTGCATGATCCTCCCTCACCTCAACCCCATCCTTCCTTCCCTTTTCCATCTGTCCCTCCAGCCAGAGCCCTGTGGCCTCCTGACTGAAGGTAGGCCCTGCAGGTGGGCAGTTTGGGGCTGACACCTACTATTTATTCTTCAAGATAGTTCAGGCCCTCAGAAGGAAAATTTCTGTATTGCAGGCTTCCATAATCCCCTTTTATCACAGCCTGCTTACCTGATTACAAATATTGTGAGGGCAGGGCAGGTCCTTCATTTTTGTCCCCAGCGCCTGACACACACGTACTGATTCATTCAACAAATATTTGGTGAATGCTGAGTGCTCACTCTGTTGTCCTAGAGCTGGGACTTAATTTTTTCCTTCCCTTCTATTGCCAGGATCCTCCTTTTCTGGCCTGAGGATGCCTAAGACAGTGGGACAAGACGTCTGTCACGCAACGTTCTTGCTTGTTAGAGCCACTCTGGGATCTCACCCAAGGGCTGGGGGAGATGCTCGGGAGCCCGGGGCCTTTGCAGGTAGGGAGGAGACCACCGGGCAGGCCTGGCAGAAGTTTTGCTAAATGGCATGTGCTCACACTCCTGTTTCGTGCTGGGTCCTGATTTCAGCTCTTCTTGTTCCACCAGCAGGTCCGGGGATCAGCCACACTGGGTCAGCTCTGTCCCTGGGCTCCCTTCCTGCCCCGCTTGTACTTCCAGCCCCGCTCCCCTCCCCTGAGTGGCCCAGGTCCACACAGGCTCTCAGTCCTGGGTCCCGGGGATGGGATGCGTGGACTCTGCAACTCTGATTCAGAATCAGAACAAGGGTCTTCCCACTATTGAGAAATTCTTGCTGGGCTCTAAAACACATCTCTCTTGCTTAAGTTACTTCCTTTGGCTTGAAAACAGGGAGGGGGTTGTTGGGCGCAGGCTGGGTGGAGAGGCAACTTCAAGGAGACAGCGGGGGAGGAGAGGACTGGGCTGGAGCTGTGCCGGGAGACACAGGGCTGGCCTGGCCAGGAAGAGGAGAGAAGGGCCATTAAATGATTAGGAAACTTGGAATGGGAATGGGAAGCAAAAGCACCAGAATGCGGGGGGCCCAAGGCCAAGAGCAGGCTGGCGAGAGCCCCCCAATATTCTGACACCCAATGGGTGGAAAGGCCAAAGAAGCAGGTGGCCAGTTTTCATCTGTGACACTGGAAGTGTTCTGTAGGCTGGGGTGAGGGCTGAGAGGGCCTTGGGTGCCCAGCTCAGTGGGAGCATGGCTCCCCTTCCAGCAGGGAAGCCAGTTCATCAGACTCAGAGGAGATATTCTCTCTTTCTGTGCCCCTTCTCTAGACAAATCACTGCCCTATTTCCTGTTGTGATTTTAAACACACACACGCACACACACACACACACACACACACACACACGAGAGGGAGGGAAAAGTGAAGCTGGCCAGCTGGACTTGGGGACCCATTTCGCAACCTTGCAGCCTGCAGCCTAGGAGGACTTTTCTGGGCCTCCCCTCCAATCTCCTCCTTCCCCATGCAGCATGGTACAGAGAAGAAACCCTAGGACCCCCAAGGGCCCCTCCAGAGCATTCCCTCATACACAGCCCCGAATGAAGTGACTTCAGCAAACCTTATGTCCTTCAAGGCCTCTATCTGCAACCTCAGAACCTCCCCTCACCACACACACACATCTTCCCAGGGCCCCGCTCCTGCAGTCTGTGCTCTTTCTTTCTACAGCAGAAACATCCTCAAAGCTCAGGGAGGACAGGTCAGAGGAGTGAAGCCTAGACAATGCAGGGCCGGGCTGGGCTGGGGGTCAAGCAGACTTGACCCCCAGCCCTGCCCAGGGGCGGCCCTGCAGGGGGCTGGACAGGGCCTGAGGTTCCTTGAGAGGGTGGTCAGAAGCGGGGGGTAGGGTGGGCAGGCCAGGCCTGTCGACCCCTCTGGGCCTCGGTTTCCAGAACTTCAGTCTTTTGTCTGTCACTTTCAGAATGCTTCCCATGTTTATGCACAGCCTGCTCTGCCGTTTCTTTACATCAACTCACTTTTCTTATTTTGCTGCATCCTGAACAATCTATGAAGCCGTAGGTTTGATGTGCTGGCTGTAGGAGTTTCTAACGGGCGTTACATAAAAACATGACTGTAACAATAAAAAACGCACATCCATACACGACCTAAAAATCAAGGCACTCCGGCTTTGGGAAAGGCAGTAGTAAACCCTGAGGGGTGGGACACGGTCTTCCCTGAGGGTCTCCTGGCTCACCCCATCATGTTCTCTAGTCATGGGATCAGAGTCCTCAGAGACATCCCCGTCCTGCTGGGGCAGCGGCAGAGGGGAGGATGGACCGTGGAATTACATCCCAGGAGGGAGGAGAAGAGATGAGGACTGATTTCTAAGACCCACCCTCCAACCCAGGCCAATGCAAGACACAGGCTGGGGGAGGAAGCGCTGGCAGCCCAGCCTGTTAAGGGATGAAAACACACACACACACACACACACAGACACACACACACACACGCAGGCACGCACGCACGCACACGCACACACACCTGTCAGAACGAGTGAGGATGCGGTCAGTAGGTCTCTCCCCACTCTTGAGTAGAAACAGGGGGAAGGAGCTGGGCTCAGACAGGAAAAGGCCGGACTTCGGCCCTAAGCCTATTCCACGGAGCCAGTCATGAAGCCGCACCAACCACTGTGGGGCCTGGGAGGGGCCCTCCAAGGCCTTAGGAGTCAGAGCAGGCCTGGCTCACAAACGCCCAAGGACCCATGTGAAACAGGCTCACTTCCTGGCCTCCTTCCTTCTTTCTATTCTATTTCTGTTTCCAGAGTTTTCTCCAGGGCAGGCTCCCCCTTCTTCCCACACCAGCAGGCGGGCTTCTCAGCCTCTGGGCTCTGGGCTCCAGCACCTCTCCCTTGTCAGACTTCCCCCCCCAACCCCCCCCACCCCGGCATGGGGCTCAGGCCAGGGGTCCGACGGAGGTCAGGGTCAGCCAAGAATGGCACGATTGCAGGGAGGGCTCCCCCAGAGGGCAGAGAGAAAGCAGGAGAAAGCAGCAGCCTTTCTTATTCCTGCCCCTGGGGGAGCTAATTACAGGCCAGTAGCCCACTGCCCAGGTGAGTGCCTGGGACCAGCCACGCTGCACACCAGGGCAGGCCATCAGCCTCTCCTGGGAAGGGGGATGAACTGGGGGCGGGGGGAGGGTGCTGGGGAGAGACACTTCCGACATCCTCAGCTCAGGGCCCATAATTAGTTTGTGGGATGAGAGCAAAACAACCATCCTCAGGGTGACAGCCAGACATTCAGGCGGCATGGGGCATGGGGTGGGGGTAGGGCAGGAGGAAGGGACAGAGGCTGGGGCAAGAGGAACCCATTCATTTGCCCCAGCAGCATTTCTCCCCAGAACCTTCCGGTCTCTTCTGGCCTCCTGGACTCTGCCCCAGAGGGGCCCAACGAATCTAGCAGACTTTGAAGGCAAGGCTCTGTTTGCCAAAGGAGGGGCACCCACCTGAGGTTATTTCCTGCTTCTCCTGGGGAGAAAGGCAGGAGAGGGGCCAGGCCAGAACAAAAAATGTTCCCATCAGGGCACCCCTGCCAGCCACCTATCCACAAGCTCATCAGCCCATTGGCCGCCCTGAGGCAGGGCCAGGGAGGGAAATGCTGGAGCTGTTTGCCCAGACAGCCTGTTGGGTGGGACCGTCAACAAGGAACAGGGAGAGGGCAACTGTCTCATGGGGTCTCACCCTAATACTACCCTACCTACCACGACTGCCCGCCCCTCAAGAGCTCAGCCGACCAGGCGTAGCAGCCCCCAGCCCAGCACTCCAAGGAGGACAGGTCTATCACAGGTGAGCCTTGGTCACCAACAGCTATTGGGATGCTGTGGAAGGGCCGCAGCTGAGGTGTGGACCACACAATGGGGCTGCAAGAGGGCGAGGGCTCTTGGAGGAACCCCTGCTCCCTCAAAAACTAAGCCCTTGTGTCCTCCTGGGATTTTGGTCTTCTGTGGGGATCATCACATGGGGACCCAGAGAAGGAACTTCAAGATCTTCTAGACAGGACCCAGGTTTACCATCCTAAACCTTGTGTGCACTGGCCTCTAGTTACTTCTGGCTTTCCCTGCAATTTATCTGATCTCCCCAGACAGGCTCAAACCCATTATGCAGATTAGGAAATCAAAGCAGAGACAGGGAGTTCTGGTTTACTCAAGGTCACAGATCAAGTTACCCTCTCTCCTGCGGGAGAGATCAACCATAGGCCAGACCTCCCCCCTCAGCCCTGTGGTGCATTTCCTGGAAATGTGATGATGCCAGACGTTTTGTTTGTTTATGTAGCAGCATCTGAGATGAGCAGGACGGCTCCAGGCAGTGGATCTATGCCCTGGCCCCATCCCCAGTGACAGCCCATCTGCCACCTCTGAGACAGCAAAGTATGGCCTGGGAGGGAGCCCCAAAGGGGGACATCCAGGATATCTGAGAACGCTCACGTGGCCCCAGCGCTCACGGCTCCTCCTCTGGGCTCATTCCTGCCACAAAGCCCCCTAGAAACAGCCTCAGGACCCCTACAGCCATGCTGCAGCAGGGAGTCCGTTCTGGAGATGTCCCCAAGAGAAATAATGGAAGAGGAGATTGGACCCAGCCTGGCCGCGGCTCCTTTGCCCTCAGCTACAACTTAGCCAGGCTCCTCTGGTTCCAGGCCTCTTCTTTCCCTTGCTCTGGCTCTCGCTGTGTGGGAAAGCCCCTCTGTGGATTTATCAACACTCCTCTCTCTGAAAAGGGACAGCCCCTGGTCTCTGGAGGCTGACCAGTTATTGCCCCCATCGAGCACCTCTTCTGGGAGGCCCTTCTCTGCCCTGAGCCAGGAACGCAGGAGCCATCAGAGACTCAGCTCAGAGAGGGGAGGAAGCACAGCCACAGCTCTGCCCCGGCTCCAAACAAGTGTCTTCATCATGTGAGACCCCCTGCCTCGGCCTCCGCCAGCGGCTTTTGTTTAGGCTCCTGCCCCGGACAGGGGTCACCCCGAATATCCCTCTGACTCTGTCCCGGGCAGGCTCTGTCTTGCCCATCTCCCCTGCCCTCCAAGCTGGAACAGGTGACTCACGGTGCAGGCTGAGGGAGATGTTGATGGTGTGCTCATCCACGAAGCCCTTCAGGCCCGGCATGCGGGCACACTTGAGCTGTGTCTGGGCAGCACTGTCCCCAACGTGCACCCAGCACACCGTCTCGTTGGCATAGCTGAAGTCCATGGCTGTGGTCTGCCGTGTGCTAGTGGGTGTGATGGTAGAGACCTGGGCCCCACTCAGGTATGTAGCCAGGATGTTCTGTGAGTTGGCAATCAGCAGCACAGGGGGTCGGTCTACCGGCTCTGTAGGTGGAGGAGAGAAGGGTCAATGCAGCAAGTGGCCCTGAGACCTCTCTGGCCACTCCCCATCAGGGAACAACACTGAGGGCGCCTAGCTGTACGGCCACAGGTGACCCCACCTACCGTTCTTGGCCTTGCAGGAGCGGTTGTCTGGCTGCAGCAGGTACCCTTCCACGCAGCCGCACGTGAAGGAACCATCTGTGTTGGTGCACAGCTGGCTGCAGATGCCATAAACCGAGCACTCGTCAAAGTCTGCCGGGAAAAGGAGAGAGCGCCGTCACTTCCAGCGTGCCGAGGGCAGGGAAGGGAGTGCCCTCAGACACCACCAGGGATGTGTCCAAGCCTACGGCTACTTCGGAGGACAGTTTGGCAGAATCTATTACAATAAGAAATGCGGAAACTTTATCACCTAGAGAATCCAGACTTGGAATCTACCCTGGAGAAATATCCACACACGTGCATATTATCCATTCGCTCAGAAAAGATTCCTTGAGTACCTACTATGTGCCAGGTACTGTTCTAGGCTCAGGGGATACATCAGTGAATAAAACAGATTCAAATTGCTGCCCTCATAAAACTTAAATTCCAATAATAAATGAAATACTGTTCCTACGATAATATGACACAAAGGTAAACGGCATGTTAGAGGAACTAGTGCAATGGAAAGTGGCTGGCGCTATGGAAAAATATTAAGCAGAGAAAGGGGGCAGAGAATGCCGGCGCTGGGGGTGGGATTTTAGGGAGGTAGGGATGGCCTCACTGAGAAGGTGGCATTTGTGCAACGACCCCAGGGAGGTAAATTTAAAACAGAAAAGTTTGCATTGTGTGTAACAGAAGAAACTGGGAACATCTTACGCATCAAAAGGGAGATGGCCAAGTAAACTGTGGTAACAGTCATACATCACAGTGGTTTTTAAAAGAATGAGGTAGACCTCTACATATTAACATGGAAAAATCTCTAGAACATACTGGGTGAAAAAACTGAAAAAAGCATATGTACAGTATGATATTTATGTAAAAAAAAAAATCACATGCACATAAACAGTACTTTCAATTAGATTCTCCATGAGTACATGTATACATGGACAGAAAAAGGCCTGGTCAGAGAAGTAGCAAACTGGTAACAGGGTTGACCTCCAGAGAGATGGGGAAGGGACCAGAACTGAAGAGGATTTGTCAAAGGGGACTTTGGTTTTATCTATAATGCTTTAATTTTTTTTTTTTACAAGAAAACTCACATATGACCTATATAATTTTTTTTTTTTTGGCTGCACCACACAGCATGTGGGATCTCAGCTCCCTGACCAGGGATCGAATGCACGCCCCCTGCACTGGAAGCGTGGAGTCTTAACCACTGGACCATCAGGGAAGTCCCTGACTCATATAATTTTTAAGACGACTTTTAAGAAGTCTGGTGGAGGGCTTCCCTGGTGGCGCAGTGGTTGAGAGTCCGCCTGCCGATGCAGGGGACGCGGGATCGTGCCCTGGTCCAGGAAGATCCCACATGCCGCGGAGCGGCTGGGCCCGTGAGCCATGGCCACTGAGCCTGCGCGTCCGGAGCCTGTGCTCCGCAACGGGAGAGGCCACAACAGTGAGAGGCCCGCGTACCGCAAAAAAAAAGAAGTCTGGTGGAAGCAAGTAGTTAGGGCCCACAGTCATGCCCTGAGGCTGTAAAGCCTGTAGCCCCGCCTCCTGTCTTGCACCTTCCATCTGCTTTCTCCTCCCCAGCCCGGCCCACTACCCCTCACCTCCAGCACACACGGTGGGCACACTTACCTTTGCAGGTCTTGCCGTCTGCCTGAAGTTGAAAGCTGTTGTTGCAGTAGCAGGTGGGCCCGTTGAGTGTAGGGACACAGTGGTGCTGGCAGCCCAGATGAGAACACTGTCCTCGCTGCTCTGTGTGGGAGCAGGTGACACATACTCAGGACTCCAGACCTGGCAGCTGTACCCAGACTGCAACCTTCCCCCAACCCTTCAGAAACCACTTCTGCTGCCTGCAGTGTCAGAGATGAAGGGGCTTACGAAGCATCGACCCTAAAAATATAGTGTCAGCGAGGAAACCGAGACCAAGGGTGGGTATAAGATAGGTCCAAGGTCACACAGCCCATTATGATTTAGAACCCACATCTCCCTGCTCTGGCTGCTCTGAACTCCCTCTGTCCCCATGGAGAGGGGTTCTGGTAGTTTGTTGGCGTCAACAGGAAGTGGGGACAGTGATTCTCATCCCCTTCACATACCTCTTGCCTGCACTGCCCGAGGACTGCAATGTTGGCTTTGGGGCTGAGGGTGAAGAGCTGGCATGGAATTGAATCTTTCTGTGCAGCACCCTAGCTCTTGTCTAGAAGCACCCCTGCAACCCATCCCTTGAGCCCTAGAGGCCTCAGAGAGAAGGCCCAAGGTCCAGGTAGAGGATAGGAGGAGGAGCAAAACTGGCTCCCCTGGGATCCTTCTCTAATCTTCCTCCTGCCACTGACCCACTTCCACAGGGGAGACAGAAGGGAATGAGACAGGAGGGGGAAGAGGTGGGAGAGCAGCTGCCCCCCCAGACCAGCGACCCAATTAATGGTCTTGCATGAGGCCAGGCGGCCTGGCCACAAAGACCCCTTTGTCCAGCTGCCTCACACCCCTGCTCCCCCCCTCCCACCTAGGAGAGAGCACTGCCTGAGATGCTAAGACGTTTAGAGGCACTAAGCCTGCCAGGAGGAGCTAGGATCGGGGGCCGGGCCCCGGTTCTTCCTTCTCCTTCCCATCTCTGCCCGAGAGCCCGAGTGTGCTGCCCTGTCCAGCCTCCCCCCAACACAGGGGGGAAATAGTGTTTGTTCCGGAAAAGCTGGAAAAGAGTTTCTCTTCTGGATATGGGGTGGGAGGATGATGAGGTCCAACTTCTGTAATATCAGAGAAGGAAGTCCAAACCCTAGGTTTTCGAGGTTCTTGGTTGTTTTTGAAACTGACCAGGTATACAAAATCAAGCAAACTTGAACACACGCCATCCGATAAGATGGGACGTGCTTGGTAATTGAAGTCAGCCCCTAGGCCCACACTCTGCATCCCATTCCAGGAGCTTCAGAGAAAAACATGCAGAATCAACCAAAGGAAAGGATAAAAATCTTCCACAAACTCCCTTGCTCCACACTCCCTGCCCTCAATGAACAGGATCCAGATGTGTCTCTTCCCACAGGCAGCTGTTTTCTGACACGCGTTACAGGCACAGGACACGGTCCCCACCCCCCAGGGAAGATTGCCCCACACCCAGGGGCTTGCCTAGGGACTCACAAAGCCAGGCTTCTGCTCCAGGCCCAGACCTTGAGGGCAGTAGGAGAAGTCCCCATTCCCTGACTCACAGGCCTGAGGCCCTGCCTGTCCCCCCCTGCCCCCAAAGAATCTCTCCCATTGCTCACGTGGGATCCAGACTCTCCCTGGGTCATGGGGGCCTCCAGGGGGAGAACTGCAGAGCTGGTGACCTGAGCTGCAGGTGGGAAGGAAGTCTGACCTATCATAGTTCCCTCTTCAGCCTGGGTGACTTTCCCATCAAGCAACTTCACAGAGCCTCAAAGATCTGCACTTCCTGGGGGACGCCTTTGGGGCCCTGGAAGTGGAGGCAGGGGGACAAAACTCCAGAACCCCCCGACCCCAGCTTCAATCACAGCACCTGCTCCTCTCTGTTCATACTCATGTAAGAAACGATTTGAAGAAAAGACCCCGCTGTTTACAGAAATAAAAAGTACAAAAACGCTGATCTAGTATAAAGCTCTCATTTCACAGGTGGGAAACTGGGGACTGGAGAGGGGTAGTGACATGTCCAAGCACACACAGAGAAGTGCCCGGGGCACAGGGGAGCAGGACAAGGCCTCATCCCCCACAAAGGTGCGAGGACAGTCCTTGGATGGCGGGCCTCCAAACCTGTCAGGTGCCCACCTGAGAACTCACTGCATCCACCTGGGACAGGAGAGGTGGAAGAGCCCTTACCTCGGCAGTGGGGCCCCTCGTCCGACCCATCTGTGCAGTCCTGGACCCCGTTGCAGAGGCGGGACATGAGAATACACAGCTCGGTGCCCAGGCAATTGTGCTCGTTCGGCTGACATCGCTGGGTCTTACTCTGTGGACCTGGGGGCAGATGGAAAGGCCAGCATGACCGCACTGGCTACAGAGGCTGTCTGCCTAGTTGTTCACTGGGGGAGGGGGTGGGGAACTGAGACTGGGGTTACAGGCACCTGCACTTTTTAGATCTCAGGAGGCCTAGGGCCTGGATAGACTCTTCAACCTCGAGCTCTCCTATGCCATTCCCAACAGCAGCTACACACCTGGGAGCCGCCAGGTGGAGGGGAGAACTAGGTTTTAGCAAAGAGTCCACTCCCCAAATGCCCCACGCTGTGGACCCCAATGCCTCACATTCTACACTCAGGAGACAAAGTACACCTCCCTCCTATAGCTCCCCAGGTCACAGAGCCTGGAGCTGAGAGCTGGACCAAGTCTTCTAGAACTGCACTTCCCAATATGCAGCATCATACGTGGCTACTGAGCATTTGAAATGTGACTAGTTCCAACTGTAAGTATAAGATGCACACTGGCAAAAACAAACAAAAAACAATGGGAGTTCCCTGGTGGCCCAGTGGTTAGGACTCGGTGCTTTCACTACCATGGCCCTGGATTCAATCCCTGGTCGGGGAACTAACATCCCGCAAGCCACATGGCATGGCTGAAAACAAACAAACAAACAAATAAATGAATAAATAAAATAAAATGCACACTGGCTTTTGAAGACTTAATACCACAGCCACAAAAAAGAATGCAAAAGATCTCATTAATACTTTTAAACAAATAATATACTGAAATGATAATAGTTTGGATACATTGGGTAAAATAAAGTTGAAATTAATTTCACCTGATTATTTTTACCTTTTTGAATGGGGCAACTAGAAAATTTCGCAATTGTGTACATGGCTTGCATTATATTTCTGTTGGATGCACTGTTACAGACCCCCAGCCCCAGAGCAGCTTGCCTGATGCAAGGCTTTGGAAACGGTCAAAGGCTGTGGCCCGCTGATGGTGTCTTGGTACCTCCTTTGTTACCCAAGAAGATGGGCTGGGGGAAGGGCAGGGCAGAGCTCCTGAGGGGATTCTAAGGAGGCCAGGTGACCTAGGACGCTGGCTAAACCGGTGGGCTGGTAGACAGACCACTGCCCATTGGCTCCCAAGCCTGGACAGGGTGTGAGAGAGTGTCTGTGTATGGGTGCACCTGTCCGCCTGTGCCTGGTAGGAGTCCACATGCACAGGTGAGGGAGGCGTGTACGGTGGAGCAGAGTGGTGTGGAGTGAGGGTGAATCCATGGCCCTGGATCCAATCCCTGGTCGGGGAACTAACATCCCACAAGCCACATGTGCTGGTGCTTCTGGCCTTGGTATGTGCATTTCCATGTCCTTTTGGGAGCGAATCTGGGTTTGTGTGTGCGTGTCTGGGAGCATCTGTCTGAGTGCAGGCTGTGTCTCTGCATCCCCATTTCCGAGTGTTGACTCTGCGCTGCTGTGAGAGCATGTCTGTGCCAGCATCTGCCTCTGTCCGTGTGTGTCGGGGAGGGTGGAGGGGAGTGAGTCAGTGCCCGGGAGGGACTCAGCATGGGTGTGATGGGCCCAGGACTGTGCATGAGTGGGGACAGTGTGGGGATGTGTATAAGGTGGGGTTTACATTGAATTAAAGGGAGGAGGATAAAAAGAGCCAGATCTGGACCTTCTGCATGGCTTTCTTTATCCCTAACGCCAAGCATTGGGGTCAGAAATGTGGGGCATAAAGACGGCATCAGACAAGAAGATGCTCCAGGCTGAGCCACCCCCCCGTACAAACACTTGCAGAATATCCCTGGCTCCCACACCTCCAGGGCAGGGTATGAGGGTGAGGCAGACAGAACTGGTCGCTCCCTTTCTGGCCCTAAAATTACCCCTAATAATTATGGGTGAGGGTGTGGAGATGGGGCTGGGACAGGATAAAGCCGGAGAGAGAACGGAGACAGACCTAGGAACGCAGGATCCCCTAGACCCCAGCCCAGATTAGCCCCGCAGAGGAGAGACTCTGCCAGCTGCCCAGGACTCTAGGGTCCCGCCAGAAAGTCCTCCACTCCCGCCACTGGCAGGGTAAAGCCTGGGTGGGGACCTGTCTCCCAGTTTAAACAGCTGTGCCTCTTACGGAGGGCAGGGGGAGCGGGGGAGGGCGGGAAATGCGCAGGGGCGGGGTTTCTGGGACAGAGACTTAGCAAGGGGCCAGTGGCCTTTGGCCTGGGAGCCTGAGGACAGGAAGGGGACCCAGCAAGACCTGGGGGCACTCATCAAGGATCAGGAGGTTCAGAGGTGGGAAGAAGAGGGATGAGCCAGAAGGGAGGGGAGCCTGGGCCCTCTCCTTCCAGGAAATCTGTCAGCCCAGAGAACACAATCTCTGGCTGGCTTGGGGGTATAGCAGCTGAGGGAGCTCATTTCTGAGCACACCAAGCACCATGCCGGGCTCTTTGAAGAGGGGGAGAGGACAGTTTTAGCTGTGTCATGTACAAACAATCATAGAGCAAGGTCCACGCCAGACTAGAGCTCAGCTGTCCTCATCCCAAACTGCCTGGGCCAAAAGGAAAAGGCATAAATCGGTGGTGTGGGGGAGGGATCCAGAAAAGGCACTTACAAATCTCGGGAGCCTCGTCAGATCCGTCGGGGCAGTCCCTCTCACCATCACAGCGCCAGCCCTTTGAGATACAGGTGATCTGGTCTCTGCAGGCAAACTGCTTTGGGCTGCAAGTCTTAGGGACTGGGGTCAAGGGAAGAAAACAGGGGTGTGAATGAGGGATACAGGCCAACTCTATGGCCTTAAGCGCTCTAGGGCGCCTCCTCCTCCCCCAGCATCAGTCTCCATCTGGCCCAGACTCTGACCCACGGTCCATGTGTTGGGGGGGGTGGGCATGTGGCTGGGGTTCACTCCCAGAACACCGCGTACCTGCGACGGTGGGAGGGGAAGGATGCAGGGAGCACGTTTTATTGCCCCCCACTCAGTCCCGAAGACTGCCTGTTCGGTGTGCCCTCCCCCAGTCCTCAGGGTCAAAGCCCTTGCTGTTCTCTGTTACTCCGGTCAGACACCAGCAACCCCATTTTGCTGACTGAGAGTGATGGGGCATTTAGCCATTGGCGTGTTTTCTCTTTATCTTCCTCCCTGTCTCACTAGAGGTCCAGAGCTGGTCTTTTCTAACCTCTCTGCTCCTTCGCCCTCTGGGACACTTTTGGTCCCTGGGACCCATCATCCTGCCCATCTCCAACTCTTAACCACCAGGCCCCCAGATGGGATGTGTGTCTGGGGTGCCCTTGGCACAGTGGTGGCTTGGAGATGGCATCAGCAGAGGAGCCCTGCCTCCACCTGCATTCTCTAAAGACACAGCCTCCCTTGCTGGTTAGACTTTCAGCAGATGCCCTCAGAGGTAAGAAGCACCTAAGATTGCCCAGGATGACAGAGTTGGAGAGCTGAGGCAGGGGGATGGCTGGGGTGACCTGTAGGAGCTGGTTTCAGCCCAGCCGACCTGTTAAGGTCCTATATCCGGGACCTCTTTGCCCTAAACCCTCACCCCCACCAGCTTCCCTCTGCTCCTGCCCCATTCTCTTACCTCATTCTCCGGGGATGAATTAAAGACGGTAACGCTAACCCTCATTGTTACCTCAGTATGTGCCAGGAAATGTGGTACACTAGTTCTTTCCACGTATCATCTCATTTAATCCTCTCCACAATATGACAAAGTAGGTACTACTAATACCACCATTTCCTAGATGAGGAAACCAAGCCTCAGAGAAGGTGGGTTCACACAGCAGGCAAGTGACAAAATCAGGACTCATACCAGTTGAGCTGACTCTAAGCTTTTAACCAACCAGTGCACACCAGTCTCCCCATTCTCACTGAGAGGCTCTCAGGAGTTGTTCCTCCCGATCCCGTCACCATGCCCTCCACGGGAAGAAAAGTACCCCCCTCCTTCACCCCCAGCCAGTCTCCCAGCCCTTCATCGCCTCTTCCTTGGTCTGCGTCAATCCCATTTCTCTTCGGCTGTCGTGCACTGGAAACCAGCTCTGTGCCAGGCACCGCACTAGGCACTGGGGTGCCAGGGAGGGGCGAGATGGCCCCTCAGGAGCCACAGCACCCTGGGAAGACGGCAGGGCAGAGTGAGCTCAGGGCTGGGACAGAGCAGAAGGAAAGTATGTCAGGGCTCTGAGCAGGGAGGGATGGAGTGTGAGGGGAGCCACACTGAGAAGACGTCCTCCCTCCCTAACCCCCATCTCTGGCAGAGGGGACAGCACTCAGGCCCCCGGCCAGGATGAGAGCCGAGTTCAGGAAACACATCAAGGATGGCCTGGCTAGGCCCCCGGCCCCGGGGTCCCCCTCCCCTCCCCCCCACCCTGAGCAGGGAATAAAGGCCCCTTGAGGAGGTGGATAATGCTGAGTTCATTGCCCCACTGGGCCAGCTGTGAGGTCTTCCCGGGGAAACAGCCCGCCAGCCTAGTTAGCATGCCAGAGAACGGTCCTCTTCCCCTGGCCAGCCGAGACCGGCTGGTGGCGGGGCGGGTAGAGGGGGCTGGAAGGGGACTCAGAGGCAGATGGGCTGTTTGGAGCCCAGAAAGGCCCCCATGCCACCCCTGCCTCCACCTGGACTTTTAGTCCACGCCCCCTCTCCTCCCCAGGGTAGAACTCACAGCCCAGGCCTGAGGTCACCGGTTGGTCACTCCAATCTCCCCTCCATTCCGAGTCCCAGCCATGATCCCCTCCTCCTTTGGCCCTCACTTTGTCCCCCGCGCTGTCCCCCACCCCCATTTTTGGCCTGAACTCGACAGAGGAAACAGCAGCTGGCAAACTCCGAAAGCTGGAATGAGAGAGATTCACAAACCAGATGTGCTCTCGCAGAGGGAAGGGAGCGGGGGATGGGAGTGAAAGGAAGAGGAGCGCTCAGGGCCCCTGTCCCACAGCAGCATCCCTTTGGGCCGGGGCAGGGGGACTGGAGGTGCACGTCTCCCACAGGTCAGGGCAGCACAAGGATCTCGAGAGATGTGAAAGAACTTCCTTTCCATCAGGGATGGTGGAGAAAGCCCTAGGAATCTCAAGTGTGAAGGCTGAGGCCTGTCTGTGATTTCCTTCAGGGGGAAGAGGGGAGGAAAGAAACAAATAACCTACTTCGGGGCAGTCTACACAGCCAAGGGAAGCCTCACTTGGAGGCAGAGGGAGCTGCAGTGCGGTGGGGTAGGAAACTTGTAATCTGCTTAGAGCCAGCAGCCAACCCCACTGCCCTCAGCTGCGCCTTCCGCTTCTGATGCCAGCACCCAGGAAACCCACCTCTGTGGCCTTAGATGAGGGAACAACACGGCCCTAAGTTCAGGAGTAACTAGTGGCCTCCCCTGCCTCCTGCCCCTCATGAGACTTGGGGCTTTATAAGGATATGAACTAACATTTTTCAACATGGTCACTCTGTGTCAGCCGCTGAGCTGAAACACTTTGTACACATTAACTCATTTGGATCCTCAAACCCTGCGACATGGGTCCTGTTGCAATCCCCATCATACAGATGAGGGAACTGAGGTACAGAGCGATTAGTGACTGAACCGGCAGTTCCTCACTGGCCACGATGATGGAGCCACATGAAGAAGGATGAAGAAGGGAAACGGCAGGGTCCTCTGGCGCTGGGAGTGGGGACAGGGATTACAGGAGGTGGCAGTGGCCTTCAGGGCTCCTCAGAGAGGAGGGGAGAAGGTGGAGAAGACGGAAAGGGACAAGAACGGGACAGAAGAGGGAAGAGAGAAGGGAGAAGAAGGAGAGGACTACGGAGGGAGAGCGAGCGAGGTTGCAGAGAGAACGCCAGGACACAGGGGCCGTCTGTTCTCAGCTTTGCCCAGAGATGAATGTGACCGCCATGCTAACTCTGGCCAACACCCCTGCCCCCCCTCAAACCCAGGCACCCAGCCCAGCCATGGCCCCCAGGGCCACCAAGATGGAGCCAGAACAGGAGGTGTAGGGTTGGGTGTGCATCCAGACACAACACGGACCCCGCTGCCCTGCTTAAGCCTTGGCTGTCATCCTGTCCCATTCTGGGACCTTGGGGGCAGGGTGGGGAAGGGCGGTGAGAGGGCCTGACCAGAGTAGAGAGAGTGACAGGGAAGTACAGCCCTGAGGGAGTCTTCTCCAGAGAAGGGGACCCATCTGTTGATCCCCTTGGGAGCAGAGATGGAGAGGAAGAGAGATGGTGAGATTTCCTAAAGACCCAGGAGACCTGAGACAGGGTAAGCATGAAAGAGACCCCTGAGACCCTTTTCAAGAGCAGACACAGCAGAGGGAGAGATAGGCTGTGTATCAGGGGATGTTTTCTGAAAGGAGCCACATGATATATCTAAGGGAACAGAGGAGCCAGGGGGTGGCCAGGGGGTGGGGGACAGAGCCTGCAGGAATCTAAACTTTCAAACATATGGGGGTGGGACAGCAGGGGCCTCCCAGACCCTAACCAAGAGCTTTTCACTGAATTTTATGTATTTTGGGTGTTACCCGGTGGCTCCTTCCCCGCAGCTCAACGAGGCTCAGACACATTTTTGTCATTCCTGAGTCTGGGCCTCTGCTTTGCGGCCTGGACAGACAGACAGGATGGCTTGGGCTGCTGGGGGAGGGGAAGGGTCTCCCCCTCCATCCTGAGTCAATATTGACTCAGCAGGACATTAGCCTGACCTCCCCACCATCTTTTCCTTTCCCCACAAGTAAAATCAGACCCTTTGAATGTCTCCAGAGGTCAGCATATCTCTCACCAGGCCTTTAGAAGGCCTTCCCACCTACCCCCCAACACACACACACAGCTTATGCGCTGCAGAAGGAAAAGCTCTAAGCTCCTGACCCATTCCTCACACCTTTCTCCAGTCCTCAGGTTATGAGGAAGTTCTGCCAGAAGTCTAACCTCCCTCCTCCTTTCTGAATTATCGGCACTCCCTCTCTTACTCAACCCACAAAGGGTATCAAGTTCCCTTCTTCCAGAAACATTCTCTCCAAAATTAGTGGAGGGGGAAGAAGAGAGAGGAACTTGGAGGAAAGTGGAGGGAGAACTTTCACTGCCGAACTGGATACTCCAAGCTTGGCCTGGGAGGGGAAGAATAACTCCAAAATGGCGAGCACGTGGGAAAGCCCAGGAGAGACTTCTGCTCCCAGGTAGCTTTCAAGATACCAAGAGGCCTGGATGGAGGTGGATGGAGACAGACAGAGACAAAGCAAGATACAGAGACTGAGAGAGACAGGACAAAGAATGTCACAAAGGATGAGGTAAGAGAGATGAGAGGATGAGAGACAGAGGTTCTTTGAGGCCAAGAGAGCACACACCAATGATACACAGACAGAGGCAAAAACCAGGGAAGGGGTCTCAGCCGAGAGGTTGCCAAGACAACGACACAGTTGTCTTGGGATGACCCCGGAGAATAACATCCCTGAGACTCAGGGTGGGGAAGCATATACCTTGACTTGGACAAAGAGAGTCTCTGCCCTAGCAGTGCCTGACCCAAGGGAGACTCAGAATAGGGGCCGCTGCCTCCCACAGAATTGGGAGGGTGGGAGGAAGGAAGACTGAAGCTCTTCAACAGGGAAGCCAAGGCCTCCAGGAGATTCTCATTTTCCCTGGGGGTGCAAGAGGGATAAATACCCCCCCTCACTGTCCCTCACCTCTTTCTCAGGGAGGTTTTACACTGGGGCCTGGGGCCACCGCACCGGAAGCAATCTGGAGCCAACTGCTTCCTTCTCCAAACAATGCAGGATCCTGCTAACCAGGCTGAAATCTGGGACTGAACACAGGGGCATGGGTCTAGGTTCTTCAAACACCCACACCCAGCACCCAGCTCCACCAGGTCAGGGACAGCTTGCATGGTCCCACTCAACTGCACTCAGATTCCCAAAGGGCGAGGAGCCCCCATCCGGAGTTGGAGGACTTGAATGCTGGAGAGTTCATAGAGGGTTGGGGAGGGGGGCGGTGCCCTGAGAGGAAACTACTGAGGGGAATAAGCCTTAGGTTTGGGGTTTTGATATGCAAAGGCTGAGACTACAGCAAGAGGAAAGAAAGTTAGACTTGGTAAGGAAGGGCTTCCCAAAGGTAAGGAAGGGCTTCCCAAAGGTAAGGAAGGAGTTTTGTAAAGTTCCGGGGATTTGGACAGGATCTGGCTCTGGCCAGAGCCCCTGCTGACATCCTTAAGAGGCCCAGTGATGGGGAGTGGTTGGGGGCAAAAAAATATAGAGAAAATGGAGGAAGGGGGAGCAAGATGAGGAGAAAAGGAAGTCTTGAGAAGCAGCCTCAAACATCAAAATATCCCTCCATCCCCAAATCAACATCCCACACATCCCTGGTTTGAAAGACGAGGGTGAGGGGAGATGTCCAAGATCTGAGTCTGACCAGGGGAGAAAGGAGTTTGGAACCATCTCTCAGAGAACCAGAAGGCAAACAACTCAGTCTCATAACTCACTTAACTGTCCAGCTTGTCTGATAAATGGTAATACACTGGCTCGAGGGGGTACGTGGAGATGGGTAGGAGAGAGGGAGGCAGCCAGCCCTCTCCACTACAAAATGTTCCTAATCTCAGCAGGAACCTCAATAACTCCTCTTCCCATTCCCCATTCCATCTGTTTCTCCATCCTCCCAGGTAGCAAGTATACTCAATTCTGTCTACTAGCAGGGAGTGACATTGCTCCCCAAAGAGAAGGGGACCCTGGGAATTGGGTTCAGGCATAGCAGAGAAGGCAGAAATGGTGGAGAAGGACCCTAGGGCTGCTCCCCTGGAGGGAAAGCAGCAAGGTCTGTGATAGCAGCAGAAAGGAAGGTTAGACATTGAGTCAGGTAAGCTGGAGCCAGGACGTGTCCTTCTCCAGAAAACGAAGGAGAAAGTTCCGTGTCTGTGGGCCTGAGACATGAGGGCAGGGGTGGGGATAGAGGAATCCGTAGGCTGTCCTGGACAACATTGGCCCTACAGGTCTGTGCAGTTTCCCTTTCCCACTCCCCAGAATGGGGTAGAACCGATGATTCACTATTCCCATTCTTAAGGTGAGCACAGCATGGGTGTTTGGGGAGGGGTCCTCTCTCCAGGACTTTGGATAGAGTTTGGTTTGAGCTGGGGTTACAGCTGTGGACTGGGTGGAAACTTACAAAAGCGTGGGAGACCATTAAGGAAAACACATCCAGTCTCCCTCTTCCACTCACCACCCACCAACTTGGTGTGGCAGATAGAACCACTTTGGAACCCTGGGGGTGAAGCTCCCTGGGGCCATTCCTGACCAGGCTGGGGACTTTTTCTGCTCTCCACAGAGACCCCCCTTTTCCCTCTGCCTTCCATCGTGGGGCTCTTGATGGGTCACTCTCTCTCAAAATTTTTTTCTATCCCTCCCAGAAGTCGCTGTACCCAAATCTCTCTGCCTCAGTTTCCCCTCTCACTTCACAGGGCTGAGAACAAGAGGAAACAACATGCATAACTGAGGAAGTCATGGGCAAGGGCTGGTCTGAAGGGTATTCAGAGCAGAGCCTCTTTGCTCCTCTTGGGCAGATAATTGATGTGGGATGGGGGGTAGGCAGACAGAGTCCCCAAGACGGCATAACTGAGAGCTACTGAATATATTGTCTTTCTGGGCACAGCTACTTCCTGACCCCTTAACCTCCCTCCCCCAACTGAAGCAAGTTGTGGGGAGGGGAAGAGAGAGAGAGAGAGAGATAGTCTGGTTTCAGAGAAAAACTTTCCCAATCACAATCTGGCAAAATTTAGAAGATGGAGGAGGGGTGCATGATGGTATTGGGTCCAGATTTTTCTCTGGATGAGAGGACTAAAATGACGGGAAGGGATGAGATCCCACCCCTTCCAAATCAGGGGCCCAGCCCAGCCCAACCCCATGACCCCAGCTCAAAGCTTGAGCAAGACTTGAACCAGTGACTCACAAGTAAGAGGGAAAATCGCTGACATTAAAGAAAGGCAAGAGGGCCCCCCATTTCTCCAAAAGGACACGGCTCTAGCCCAAACCTAACTGCAGTCTACAAAGTGTGTGCGTATGAGGGGAGGAGGGGAAATGCTGGAGAGAAATAAACACATCTACCAAAGGAGCAGGGAATTAGGGGGTGGGGGCATAGCCATAACCCCATCCAGCCTCCAACTCTCCTTCCAGTACAAACTGTGATCAGACCAGAAGTCAGGGAGAAAGCAGCCTTCCTCCACCCTCCCACCTCAGCATTCCAGGCCATTCTCCAGTCCCCTTCCCCAATGATGACATCTAACGTTTTTCATCTCAAAGCTCCCAGGAATTAAGAAGGAAAATTCAAAGTCATATAGCTTCGCCTTCCCCCACCCGCTACACCCCCCAACACAGCCCTTTCCAGGCTACTGACAGAGGCCCTGAGAGGGGGAAGTGCTCATTTCGGAACCCAGGCTGGCAGCCCGCTGGATCCTGGACCCAGGCCTTCAAGCCCGGTCTCCAAGGGCCCAGATTCCACACCCAAGCAGGGGGCCCTCCCGTGGCCCTCTCTCTCCCCACCACAGCCATCCCCCCTGTCCTGCCTGCCCTCTGCCCAGCGGGGCACCCCTGACCCGGCTACCCTTCCAGATGCAGAGGCCACTGCAAAAGGACCCCCGCCCCCTTTTGCAGCCAGTAAACAGCAAATCCGGATTCCTTTACAATTCAGATGTGTTGTGTGGGGGGGTGGAGGATGTAGGGGAGGCAGAGGCCCTCCCCCACCAGAGATAGGAAAAGAAGGCCTCTAGATGTCAGGATCAGAAAAAAGGGGATCCCTCCTCTCCCTTCCCAGGCCTCTGGTCTTTGTTTGGGCTGGGGGGGTCCCAGAAGCATCATTTGCCCGGGGCCCCTATCCTCCAAATTGGACCCCCATCCCCACCCCCAGTCAGGCCGCTGCTGTGTCAGCTGGACTGGGATAACAAAAGGCACCCCCTCCCGCGTCTCCCTTTCCCATCCGAACGCAGGAGTGGGGGCTGGGGAGTGGGTGTCCCCAGGGGTCCAAGGGGGCCGCGGAATCTCACTCACCATCGACAGCGGCCGCGACCAGAGCTGAGAGCAGGGGCAGCAACAGCAGCAGCGGCGGGGTCAACATGGTGTGGGCTGATGCAAGCAGCAGCCCCCTGCCCTCTGGTCCTGTTACTTTTCGCCGTCGCCGCCCCCCCCAATTGGGGGGTCCCCCCTTTTCCTCCTTCCTCCCTTCTCCTCCTCTATTCTTATCCTATCCTTCAGCAAAGCTCACCAGGGGTCTGGGTGAAGAGGTAGAGTTCGGAGCCCCTTGGGGAGGGCCTGCAGACGGGGGTGCACCCTCTGCCCCCAAATCCAAACCCTTCACCCCCGGCTTTTCTCTTCGTTCCTCTTTTTCCCCCTCCCGGGCGAAGCTCACAGCCCCATCTCCGAGCCGCCTCCGGCTGCAAAAATGCACAATTGGGAGGAGGCGGGGTGGGGGAGTGGGGGGCGTGGACCGGGTGGGGGAGCCTTCGGAAGGGGCCTGATGGAGCTATGGGGTCTCCCCTCGTTTCCGCCTCCTCAGTGCACGGGCCTGGAGCTCGCACCACTGTTCCCCGGACTGAGGTGCCGCGGGGCGGGCTGGGGGGGGGGGGGGGGGGGGGGGGGGGGGGGAGGGGGGGGTGGGGGGGGGGGGGGGGGGGGAGAGGGGGGGGGGAAAAAAAAAGGGGGGGGGGGAGAAAGAGCTACGCGGCAATCCTGTGAGTGCGCATGCGCCGATTTGGCGCGCTGCCCTGGGGAGGGGGAGTCAGAGCGGCGACCAGATCTGGATCTCTGGCTACCGGTCCGAGAGCGGGGGGTTCCCGGGGTCCCGCTGGCTGGCTTTGGGCCTGGAGCGCCCATTCCCGTGACTGGGCCTTTCTCCCTTGCGCTCGGGAGCTGAAGGGGCGAGGGGGGTTGGGCAGGGGGGGTTGAGGAGAGCTGAGCGGCTTTTCTTTGAAACTCGGTGTCTTGCCCTAGAATTTCAGGCCCCGTCTGCGGATCCAAGACCGGGAGGTCTGGACCGAGGCCTGATCTCCTGGGGGAACCCTGACTGTGCCTTCCCATGACTGGGGTGGGGTCGGGGGCTGCCAGTCCGCGGGGAAGATGCGGGGAGAAGCTGAGCTTTGATTTGGAGACTTTGTAAAACCTGGACGGGGATTGGGGCCTGCGGCGGAGGGGGGCGGGGTGGGGGAGGGGCCGAGACGGCCTGCCCCAACCTCGCTCCCGGACTTGGAGTAAACAGGGACACCCGCCGGGACACGCCGGAGCTTGTCCGCCCGCCTAGGGCTTGGGGATGGAGCCCACCTTAGTGCCCGCCCCGCCCTGCTTGCCTGGCACCGGGAGGGGCAGGCCCTGGTTTGGAGGGAGGTGAGTCACCAGCGGGTGGGGTTAAGTAAGTTCCACCCACCTTCGCCCCAAGAGGTCGGGGCTCATTTATTTTTTTGTTTGGTGTTTTGTTTTTTTATACCTTCTGACTGGCTTCCCACCAAGTCGGGGTTTTAGATTCCGAGCAACAGGGATTTGGAATAAGATGAGGGACTCTGGACCTCTGTTTCCAGGCCTCGAGTTCTAAGGAGGTGTCTGCTGAGTGCCGGACCTTTGTCCCAGCCTGAGCCCGTAAGGGAATGCTGCTTTGAGTCCACAGGGCGCCGGGCGGTTCCCAGAGCCCAGTGAATGTGCTTCTGGCCACTGCCCCCTTCTGGGCGGTGTTTTAAGGCTGTACCTTGGGTGTCTGACTTTCTGGTGTCTGGAAGTCAGAGTTCAGGGAGACAGCAGGCGACGCCAGAAATTCACATTAGAGATGAGGGAGGCTTGCACCATCCTTCTCCCTTTTAAAGTTCTGTTCAAGGAAAGGCCCCAAATCCTCACGCCAGCCTGGCCCTGGCAGAAAGTGGAGCAGCATGGAGGACTTGTCTATTGATGGCAGTGAGAGCAAGAGAGGAATCCAGAAGGAGCTAGACCGTTTCACCAAACCAGAGCTTCCTCCTTGCTCACGTTGCTCAAGGCCAAGGCCAAGGCCACCTGCCTTTAGTCTCCCAGGCCAGAAACCTCAGACTTACTGCCAACTTGTCTTCTGGGCCTTTCTCTCCTATACCAATCTTGGAAACCTGTGCTCAAGATTTGTCATTTTTTTCCTTTGAAATAGAGTTCAGATTTCCTCCGTTTCCACTGCTGGAGTTTCTCTGGGCAGGGGTGGGGTCTTATTCATCCTTTCATCCAGACCTCATGGGCTAACACAGTGGTGGTCACATGGCAGCGACTTACTAACTTTTTAATGAACTCCTACTAGGTTCCTTCTTCTCCCAGGACCCTCTCTCCTTGTTGTCATCCAAGTGAAGTCAGATTGAAACAGACTTCAGACGGCTTTGCAAGGAAAAAGCTAGCTGGAGTGACCATACGTAGCCCAAGAGGGTTATGAGGGGGCAGCCCCATTCCTCTCCCTGATACCTGTCTCATGCAGGTGAATCTTCCTGAAACTGCTTTCCCTGTGTCTCTTCCTGGCTGGCAAACCTCTACTGGGTGTCTATAGACAATGGAATCAAATGTGGACTCTTCTCCCAGTCCTGGCCTCCCAATATCTGGCCTCAGCCAGCATATCGACACTTCTCGTTTGCTACGTCCCAACCCCTGCTATCTCCTGAATGTGAATGTGTGTTTATTTTTATGAACGTTATATTGTAAAAATGGTAATACTTAGTGGTTGCAAAACTCAGAGTATAGGAAGGTACAAGATGAAAAGTAAACTTGCCACTACTCTCCATACTCCCATTCTTCAGTCCCACCCTCAGAATAACCACTACTAAGAGTTCCTTGGGTCTCCTTCCAAGAGGTTTTTTTTTGACATGATAAACAGGGAATTCCTTGGTGGTCCAGTGGTTAGGACTCGGTGCTTTCACTGTCAGGGGCCCAGGTACAATCCCAGGTACAATCCTTGGTCAGGGAACTAAGACCCCACAAGCCACTTGGTGTGGCCAAAAAAAAAAAACGATAAACAAATATAAACATCTTTTAAAACCACAAATGAGCTCATACAGTATATACTGTTCTGGAACTTGCTTTTTTTTCAGTTAACTCGTCTTGATCCCTTTCCACATTGTACACACACATCTAGCTCACTCTTTGTATTGGCTACTTGGAATCTCCTTGCTTGGATACTCCACAGTCTACTGGGATTGTTGGGCCCTTGGGTTATTTCCAATGTGTGAAGTGCTGAGGTTGTCTCTATAAGACAAGAGAATGCATATTTCTGCTTGAGCCTTTAATTATACTCTTCTCTCAGCTGCTTCCTACCCTCATCAGCAAGGCTCTCCTGTTATTCTCACTCTGCCCATCTCTCCTGTCCCACATCAACTTGCTCTCAAGATAGCCTCAGTACCGAGAACTTAGCACTTAATTTCGAGGGTTCTGTGTCCACCATCAGACCATAAGGTGGTCCCTAAGGGCAAGTAACACGCCTTTTACTTCTTGTATCCACCCAGTGTTAGGACCTCTTGATTGTTCAGTGGGTAACCTGACAGGAGCGTTAGGACTAGGGGAGTCTGCGCTGGTAGAGGAGACAATCGTAACTAAGTACCATCGAACGGGATGTGACTGGAAGCATTTTCTCCGTATTTCTCCTATAGCACCCGTTATATAGTCCCTCTCTCCCTCAGCTTCTTCTCTTTCTCCCCACTTCTATTCAAAGAAGCTTTTTCCATCTTCAAACCCTTGGGTCGGAATTGTAACCAGATAGAGGAAACCAAGGAGGAATTCTCTGCAATCCATGATCGGGATATCAAGAATGGTGACAGTGGGCAAAGAAATTGGTGGGGAGGATATCCCCTTTTTTCGGATCTCCCAGCAGATTATTAAACATCTCCCTTTCCTGTCGACTGTAACAGGCACTTGAGATGGGGCATTAAGGGGGCAGCTCTGGGATTGAATGTCAGGCCAGAGACTGACACCACCTAGCGGTCAGCTAAAGAAGTGTAAACAGGAAGAGTGTCTGAAGGGTCTGGTGGAAAGTGGGAAGAGAACCAAGATTTACTGAGTACTTACCATATACTAAGTCCATGCAGTGGATTTTACATGGATTAGCTCATTTAAGTCTTATAACCGCCTTGTGGCATAAGTGTTCTTTTCAGTTTGTAGATAAGGAAATAGAGTCTCAGAAAAATTAAGGAATCTGCCCCAAAGCACAGTGCAGATTGGAGCCCAGTTTTCTTTCATTTAATAAACATTTATTAGGTACCTCATATGTGCCAGTTACATTGGTAAGCACTAGGGACGAGAGATGGAAACACACAGTCTCAGCCTTCAAGAAGTGTACAGGTTAGTGGGGTTGTGCAACTAAATCACTGACAATTACAACAAAGTACCTTAATGCCTGTGATAAAGGTACATAGCACAGAGGGAACCAGGGCAGGATACCTATTCCAGATAAGAGGGTCAAAGCAGGGCAGAGTAGATGATACCAGGCTATGTGTTGAAAGAGAGGAAGGAGATGATAAACAATGACAGAAGGAAAGTGTGTTTTAGGCTGGAGGACAGGCAAAGGCATGGAGGCATGAAGAAGTTTAAAACATTTGAGGCAATTATGGTATGACTGAAGCTTATTGGGGAAGATAATGGATGAAGTATCAGGGATCATAATCAAAAGGGTGCTTTTAGCCACACTAAGGACTTAGAATTTTTTTCTAGAAGTAATGGGAAGCCAGGTGAGAAATTGATGAAGTCCTTAACGCACAAGGCACAGAACTGAAGAGGAAGAGGATTCCAGGTAAAGAGGTAGGATCAAGTATATTAATTAGTTTATCATGTTGGCCTAGAGGATAGTGACAGGGAAAGCTGAGTCTAGAAACTGTGGCTCACATTAGAATGTTCTCAACTTCTCAGATTTTGGCAGCACATTAGAATCACCCAGGGAGTTTTAAAATCCCAATGCTGACAAAAAAAATTCTCAGTGCCAGAGAACTTGTACTACTTGACTTCAAGACTTATAAGCTACTGTAATCAAGACACTATGGTACTGGCATAAGGACTGACAAACAGATCCGTGGGATAGAATAGAGGGCCAGAAATGACTCACACTTAAAGGTCATTTAATTTTGATGAAGATGTCAAAGCAATCTACTGGGAAAAGGAATATCTTTCTAACAAATTGTGCTGGAACAACTGAATATCCATATGGGAGAAATAAGTAAATCATGATCCCTACCTCACACCATGTGCAAAAATTGATTCAAGATTAATGATAAAAAAAAAAAGGTTAATGATAGACCTTAGCCATACAAGCTAAATTATAAGGTTTTTAGGCGAAGACACAGAATATCTTCATGACTTGGAAGTAGGCAAAAATTTCTTATGTTATAGAAAGCAATAACCATAAAACAAAAAAAATTGATAAATATCAAAATTGATGCTCATCAAAAGACACCATTAAGAAAAATGAATAAGTAAGCCAAAAGGTAAGCAAAATATTGATCTCACAAAGAACTGGCATTGGGACTTTCCTGGCGGTCCAGTGGTAAGACTCCACACTTCCATTGCAGGGGGCGTGGGT